CAAGAGGAGTGGGCCAAAATCCCTCCTGAGATGTGTGCAAACCTGGTGGCCAACTACAGGAAACGTCTGACCTCTGTGATTGCCAACAAGGGATTTGCCACCAAGTACTTCGTCATGTTTGGTTAAGGGGAACAAATACGTATTTCCCTTATGAACATTGAAATCTGTGCATAATTTGTTAGACATGCATTTATTTTGAATTGTTTGTTGCTATTCTTTCTCTCAGTGTTACAATACACCTACCAATCGATTTTTAGACTGATCATTTATTTGTGAGTGGGCAAACATTCAAAATCAGCAGGGGATCAAATACTTATTTCCTTCACTGTACCAGGTACGTGGCTATTTTCAAGTTCAAAGCAACTTTCATTTCTGCAGGGAATAAACTCTCTACCTGTGAACTTACCTTACTTGCTGCTATGATACACTATATTTTTCACACTACATTTTTCTAACTATACAACAAAATTCGGCATCTTCACCTTCAGCTCGAGGTTTGAAGGAGAAATATTTTGGCTTTCCTCCCAAAATCTTGTATTTATTCTGCTGCCAGTTAAAAAACCACACAGATATACTTATCCTACAGAGGCATACAGTTGTGTTCAAAATAATAGCAGTGTGTTGAAAAAAGTGAATAAAGCTCAAAATCCTTCTAATAGCTTTTATTTCCATACACACAAATGCATTGGGAACACTACACATTCTATTCCAAATCAAAACATGAAGAAAAATATATCAAATTTGTGTTGTTGCTCTAAAAAAATTGAAGAAAAGTGAATATTAAACTGTTCAAAATAATAGCAGTGTTTGTATTCTTCTTTACAAACTCAAACATTCACTATATAAACTGAAAAATGTTTGAAGATTTTGCTTTCCTTTGAATCACTTAATGAATATTTGGTTGTAGTCGCACTGTTTCTGAGAACTGCTGTACATCTGTGTTGCATGGAGTCAACCAACTCTGGCACCAATATTCCAGCCCAGGATGATTGGACTACATTCCACAGTTCTTCTCTATTTCTTGGTTTTGCCTCAGAAACTGCATTTTTGATGTCACCCCACAAGTTTTCTATTGGATTAAGATCCGGGGATTGGGCTGGCCACTCCATAACGTCAATCTTGTTGGTCTGGAACCAAGATGTTGCACGTTTACTGGTGTGTTTGGGGTCCTTTATCTTGTTGGAACACCCATTTCAAGGGCATTTCCTCTTCAGCATAAGGCAGCATGACCTCTTCAAGTATTCTGATGTATTCAAACTGATCCATGATCCCCATATCATGATGCTTGCGCAACCATGTTCACTGTCTTCACAGTGTACTGTGGCTTGAATTCAGTGTTTGGGGGTCGTCTGACAAACTGTCTCCGGCCACTAGACCCAAAAAGAACAATCTTACTTTCATCAGTCCACAAAATGTTGCGCCATTTCTCTTTAGGCCAGTCAATGTGCTCTTTGGCAAATTGTAACCTCTTCAGCACATGTCTTTTTTTCAAGAGTGGGACTTTGCGGGGGCTTCTTGCAGATAGCTTGGCTTCACATAGGCGTCTTCTAATTGTAACAGTACTCACAGGGAACTTTACACCTTCTTTGATCTTCCTGGAGCTGATTGTTGGCTGAGTCCTTGCCATTTTGGCTATTCTTTTATCCATTAGAATGGTAGTTTTTTTTCTTTCTTCCATGTCTTTCAGGTTTTGGTTGCCATTTTAAAGCATTTGCGATCATTTTAGCTAAGCAGCTTATCATTTTCTGCACTTCTTTATATGTTTTCCCCTCTCCAATCAACTTTTTAATCAAGGTACGCTGTTCTTCTGAATAATGTCTGAAACGACCCATTTTCCTCAGAATTTCAGAGAGAAATGCACTGTAACCAGCATGTACAACATTTGCTGCCTTACTTCCTTAAATAATGGCAATAATTGCCACCTGTTTTTCTCAAAGAATGAATGACCTCACTAATAGAACTCCACACTGCTATTATTTTGAACATGCCCCTTTCAATTAGTGATTCAATTACACAGAATCAGCAGCATGCAAGTCATGACTGTTGGATCTGTTGGATTTCTATTACTCTACTACACCTGCTAGTAAATTATTTGCCATGTAGAAATATCGTTTCTACCAAAAACAGTGATTGATCAGGTTAGTGATGTGGAACAACAGACCACCTTGGAAAATCATTTTCTAACGGAGACAGTGGGGAGGCCTATCTGTTCCCCACATAGCCAACTACTACACATCGGTGCAAATAGCCCAACTTTCTGTCTACCATAATACGGCGAACCTATACACCCCCTCCCCCTACAATGGGTAACACTACGAGCTCTGATGAATACATTACTCTGGATCCCTCATCATTTATGCAAGGGAACTGACAATCCCATAATTAATCAGTCATTGCAAATTGGGACAGTGTCAGATATTCTGGCAAGTTGATGGCCCGCTGGCTAAAGAAAATGTATCATCACAACCCAACGCTCACCCTAGGTTACAAAAAGCCATTGAGATTTAAGTGGTAGTGGCAAAATAGAATCTGCAACATAGTAACCCTTTCAGGTGTATTCAGCTTTCCCTCTCTCCAGCATTTATATAAAGCCTCGTCAATGAAAATATTCCAATATTTACAAATTAAAAATCTAGTTGGCTGTACTTAAAAAAACAAACAAAAAAAAACCAAAACACTATCTCCATCCTTACAAATCCTAACAACACTTGAACATATTTGCTACCACAACCCCAAAAACTAGGGGTATAATCTCCACAACTGCAATATATACAGTATAAAACTATGACATATTGCAGTTTACCAGTTATTAGATATGGTGGTTGTATTAGTTTTCTTTATTTAGGCTCTTTCCCTTGGTTTTCACCTGGTGATCTGGCCAGTCACACATCTCCTGCATTAGGGTGCTTCTCGATGAAGGAGCAACAGAGACACCTGGAGAGCAGCATTGTCAGTCTAAGGAGAGGGAAGTGTTAGGTGTATTAGCAGATTTAGATACACTAACAAATTGAAGCTAAACTCCAGCTAACTTTTTTAAGCAGGAACGGTTCTGTTATTAAAAAAAGCTGAATATTGTAAGCACCCCTTTTAATATTAAATGGTTTGTCTCAACCCTCTAACTGCTACCATCTGCAGGACAGCTTGTTCTCAGGGATGTGTAATTCCTATCGCCCAAAGCCAGGGACATGCAGTTCGGGCAAGAGGTTTTTATTCACATTTAACATTTAGCTGTGGGCAAGTAGCAGGGTTTAAAGTTGTGTCCCCCTCCTCCTTCCACCGGCTGCCCCATTGCGGCATGTCCCCTCCATACACGTCATTGCCTGGTAGTGTGGACCACCTCTCCCCCTCCACATGTCCTCGGCCTGCTGTACGGTGAGGGCCTGCAATGGAGCTCCTCCTCCTTCCAGTGCCCCCCCCCCTTCTTCACCTCCCTGGGCCTCCAGCACATTGAAGTCCGGTCACCAGAGAGACATAGTACAGGCTGCCCCGCGGATGCTGGGAGTTGTCCTTTTTCTATTTACCCGAAAGTCCAGTATATGATTAGATGGTTTGTTACTCGGGGGCCCTTGTTGGACCTTTCAGACGTTATGGAGGGGGGATGCCTAGTAGGGGGGAGACCACCATACAGGGAATGAAGATGCCACCGATATCTGTCCTCATATAAACCTCTAAGCCCTATTTATACTAATGCAATGCAAATCCTGTGTGTTTCCTGCATTGCAATTGCACAGAGCCCATGCGATCTGCTGCAGGGGTCAATGTTAAATTAACAACACTCCGAAACAGATTGCAAAATGCAGTGCGATTGCCAGAATCGCATTGCATGGGTGTGAACACCAAACCAAGCGATTCAGGTGCAGCAAAAAAAACCCAAAACGTGGTCCTGCACCATTTTGGTGCAGATATGATTCGATTTGAGCCATACAGGGTGTATGCCCCAGACATTCCTAAAAGCACCTCTGCCTAATAAAAAACAAACCCTTCATATTTTACATCCTGGAAAAAACTTATTTAATCAGGACTAGTATATTATCATGGACAGGTAGACAGGGACCCCGGTTTTAGTCCCTTGGACAAGTAGTTTTTTGTTTTTTTTTAATTTCCACACCCCTGTATTCTGTTTTAAAAGAACAGGCTTAATGGCAGGCATCACCAGGTGAAAATAAAACAAAGCTCAACAAAGAAAACTAGTGCAGCAATCACTACTAAAAACTGGTAAGCTGCAATATAATAAATGTTTGCTTTTGGGCTAACATACCACCAATTGAATCCAATTACAAAATTACTTATGTCCCACAACATTTGACACAATCTGTGCACCCATATACACATCTGGCGGGAATGTCTGAAAATTAGGAGATATTGAAATTATTATTATTATACAGGATTTATATAGCGCCAACAGTTTGCACAGCGCTTTACAAAATGAAGGTAGACATTACAGTTACAATACAATTCGGTACAAGAGGAAACAGAGGGTCCTGCTCATTAGAGCTTACAATCTAGGAGAAATGGAGTGCATCAGCTTGCAGATACACTCCTGGGGAATTTTCTAGAAAACCCAAAAGAAGCTTTGTTCCCACTCTTCTCCACCTATACCCACGACTTCTCTTTGGAATCCTTTACAAACTCCCTCTTCTTTTCCACTTCCCTTACTCTGATTTCTTGCTTACAACCCCCTATCAGTCTATATGGGAGGTAGTAAAATCAGGACACAATTTTTGTTTTCTTTACACTAATGTTCAATTGATCGCTAAACATTTTAGATTCCCTAGATCTAGGGCATATCTCAATGTGCAACTTGGGATCACCAACACATTTTTGGCTCGCAAGGAGGGCATGCCTGTTAACAACTCTTCTCAAAATTTCTTAACTCAATGACACAGTTTTGTACCCTACTGCCCTTATCTATGCTTAAATATCTCAGTAAAAGTTTATTGGAGAAAAATTCAGCAGATTTAAAAGCAACATAAGATGCTGGACTTTAAAGGTATGCCTACCTGAGGAATTGCTGGTACATCTTATAACGCAGTGTCATAATGTCTTCCAACAGTTTAACAAACTTCTTAAGATTTTTAACTTTACTATCCATTTCCTGATATTTCTCTTTAGAGGCATGGTATTCTCTGAAATAAAGAAAAAAAAAATGACTTAGAGAACGATGAATGTGAAAAGAGAAGCTCAGGTAAACAAGTAAAAATGTATTTCCTCTTCAACAGGCCTAAGATGTATTGAATAAATATGCAAAATTCACGTGCGATTTTATGTTACTGTAAAATTGTGATTTTCCCATTGCTTAATAATAAGAAAATTAGGAAGTATCAGTTGTCCGTCAAATGGTTGTTCTGTGTGTCCATAAACACTTTCAGCAAGATTGAGAGTATCTTTAATGATAAGGTGTGTTTATATATCACTAAAATTAACATGAGTTATCGTGGAAATAAAGGTTAAGTACACGTGATCCATAATTATGTCCAACTTTTTATTCGCTTATTACAAAGTCAATTACATTATCTGAGAGGATGTAAGTGGTATAACAAGGTAGTCCAGTCATGAGCTTTCATTAAAATGTAATATATGCACCAACATTAGCAACACATTTCTCCAAGTGGAGATGAATGTTCTGTACGGCCCTTTGCAACATTTCACTTGGCATTTTCCCGCACTTCACTTGAATTACCATCTCTGCACAAGAACTGGGGATTGCTACAATACTATTTGTGCACCAGTTTGAGCACAATCGTACACTGACAGCCTACTTGATGCCATTACTGACTTGCGTTGAAAAGTGCTGCCACACACGCAAGACGGCAGAATGAAACAATAAAAGTACAAGGATAACTGTGCCCATACAGAAATGTAACTCCATACCTCACCCAATTTCTTCAACTGCCAAGGCAAAATAAAGAACTGGACATAAATATGGATCACGCTTCCTTCCCTTTCTCCCTACCTATGCTTCATAGCCTTTATAAAAGATCAGTGAAAAAACCTTTTCTTTAATTCGCTATTATTCAGTCATGTGATTGAGAAGCTCTTGCACTCCTGTGTCAGGGATAGCTCTGAAGTTCCAGTTCCATGTCGTCACCAGCTGGCTGCCGTTGCAGAACCTCCCCTCCTTTCCCCACGAAACATAGGTGTGAGGAGCAGGAAGTGAACATTTTTAACAGCACTTATAGAAAGCCTTTACTTCCCACTTTACGCTCCACAGAATGCTATCCCCACATAGATATGTCTCACAACAACATCAATCAATCTGGTAGATTAGATTTTACATGTTATACATGTGAACTGACTTCTTTCCTCTGCAAAGACATGGGCAGAAGGAATAGCAGCTGCTCTTATTTTAATATTTTCTCTGGAGTATGATACATTTACCACAGCAGGAAAATTTATCCCATTTAAAATCAACTGACTGGAAAAAGTTTGCCTTCATATGACAAAATAGATGGTTCATCCAAACTGTCCAAACTGCAGTAAGTTAAAGCCCATATCAATGCCCTCCTCTGATCCTGAAGATTGTGAATTCCCTAGAAACATGCCTAATTCTAGGTGTCTTCTGGCAGTCTAAAGACCTCAAGGGTTCCTTACCTTCTTCTCCATTGGCAGCAATCCTGAATTGTGATGCTCTTCTGTGGTCAGTGTGTGGCCCCCCCCCCCCCCCCCCCCCCCCCCCCGCCGCCCATCCTCCGCTCTTGATTGACAGCTGGTACCTGAGCTAGCCTTGCTATGAATTGTTTTTGCAAGTCTACTGGTGGAGGAGCAATGTATACTTTCAGCAATGACATACATGCCTCCTAATGTGGAAACGCCTACCCACAGGTCTGTGATCTGCTAAGCAAGGAGAAGCAATCACATGACCTGCACATTAAATGTCTGAAAAAGGTCCAATACCATTTTTTTTACAATTACCATATTTAGTCAATTGTTTCCCTGTCTATGAACACTAACAAGAATCGGGACCTCAGTGCTCTAAGGTTATACTAGCTGTTCCAAAAGAAAGCTACGAGGACACTGAACAATGAAGAAGAAGATGACCTAAAATATGTTAAGCTAATCATTCCTTTCTTTACTTGAATGGTCTATCAAATCAGCATAACCCTGTAGCAGGAATTATCAGCAGAAACTTACAGCATGCCAATGAACATAGAAGCTCAGGTAAAAGTTTAATATATTCTCGAATTATCTTCAGCAACTCCAGTCCATGTCACAACTCAAATGGCACTCAGACTATTTATCACATTTTGGATAGTCTGCTGTAGCATATAAATTGGAGGTGACACTGCACATAGGTATAATTATTCAGGACTCAGAGATACTGCTGTGTCTAGGAAGGGACAATTTTTCACAGAAAGGACATTCTGCACAAATTACCTGGCCAGACCGTTCCTTTATTTAAATCTTCAGAGTTACAAACACGTTTTTCAATTAGACCTCATGTGAGAATTCCTGTGCTCCATGTATAGTTCCCTGAACACGTCTCTAAATGTGAATACTGCTTGGTATAGAGTCCAGCTAGAGTCCTTTCAGATTTTGACAAGCTGCTGAGAGCAGCACACCAAAACAGGATTTAATGCTGAAAGACCAAACTGCCCATATGCATGAGGCCTAAATATTGAATGTATTGTGGTAACCAATCTGCCCATGTGTAGTTTATGTACACAAGGGCACTGAATACAGGCAGAAAATCCTAGACCTAAAATATATTAAGCTAATCATTCCTTTCTTTACTTGATTGTCTCATCAAATCCAGCATAACCATGTAGACAGGAACTTATCTTGTTGCAGCACTGAACTTACAGCATGCCAATGACTAGAAGCTCAGCAAGTAATACATTTAGATGATTATTATACCATAAACTTGAAAATTAACAAAACTGGCACTAATGAGGATATAATTTTCCATCTCAACTAAGCAATATCCAAAATGGATAATAAATCAGCCAGGAAGGTGTGTACCAAGCCTATTAGAAAAATAAGGTTATAACTTGCCCATGTGTTGGGGAGCTGAGGAGGTACTCGGCTCCCATCTGCTTTTACAGGAAGCCTTTCCCCAGCGAAATGCAATTTGCATCAGATTTAAGTTGCACTTAGAACAGCAAGATTATATCTTGTTAATGACGTTCGATTTATAAGTGCTGTTCTTAATGTTCAGTGAACCTAAAAGCAAGATGAATGAACTGCAAAAACTAGCTGTGTTATGTGCAACAAGTGAATGGGTATATGTACAGGTATTTGTACATAGAAACTTTGAGAAAACATTATGATAGTTTAAGTATTCGGTAGGGCTGATACACGGATAAGTGCCCCCAACTGGGCTGCCACAATATTTATATTTTAAAAAGCTGCCACAATATTTATATTTTAAAAGCTTTATGGATAATGTAGGAGGGGAAAAAAAAAACCTCTCTCATGCATGCATCTGTCCGCTAAATTAAAAATGAAGTACAGAACTACTCCACTGTAATATAGATGTTCAGTAGTACCCAGTATGACGTTGGATGCCCAAAGACAGCACAGCCATGTTCATATAAATTGAGGTTGGCTGGGGGCAGTAGGAGATTGGAGCATGCAGATGCTGAATGTCACTTATGTCTGAAAGAAAAGGAATGGAACAGGTTTCCTAACCCTTTCCACCCCAAGATCATAACACATCTGCCTGATCTCAGACACAAGATCATCTGATCTCATCAATAACGAGTCGAAAAACAGTCACTATGGAGATATGTGCTTTGTTCTGGGCCTCATCATGCAATACTGTCCCACATCAACTTTTCTATTTGGAAGCAATAGCGGTTCTAAAACTATAAAATACTAAATGAGAAATGAAGTCAGTCAGTCTTCACAGACCAGTAACTAGCTGCCACTAGGCAACGGCAAAAGAAACCCATTACAACAATTTGAACCTGACTATATTAATAATTTGTTCTGTTACCCTTCAAGACAACCTATTTAATGACACAGAATGAACCATGACAATCTAGGAATGACCTCATGCTACTCTACATCTGGTGTGCTAGCCTTCCATTAACTGTCTAGATTAAATGCACGGACAAGCAGTCCTAACAATTGTAATAAACTTTAAAGCCCAGCAGAACCCTCACTAGTACTGGTATGCACATTTAATAATAAATATGACTCTCTCTTTATTTTTTATTTTTGAATGTGAGCTGCTGCTGCATTGGTTAAAATACCCTGTGCTGGCCAGCGCATAGGTGTGCCAGACCGCTCCTCTCTCAAAGCGCTGGCCTTGCTTTCCAGTCATCTGACATGTCTCCTTGAGCAGTGCTCCAATCAAAAGCACTGTCAAGAGTTTTTTTTTTTTTTTTTAGCCTTGCTCAACTGGGCTGTATGTAATAATGTACTGCTGTACTATTGTAGAGTAGTATAAATGCCCCTTTTTTCATGTATGTATTCAGCACTCCCCTGTAAGGAGGAGTGCTAATGTATGTGTACTCATTTTATTCCACTGTTAGACTAGTGGTACCATTGCATTTAGATTGAGCGATAATATGCATATCTGAATATTGGGTTAATTTGGGAAACTTTACCTTTTAAACCATTAGGTACTTCCAGAGTTGACTGGACAAAGTACTTTGCTAAAGTAGGATAACTGTTTAATCAAACTGAAGAAAAAACCTGAACAAGACTCATTTAGACATTCAGCTTACTTTATAATCACTTCTCGATTTCCATGAAGTTCGCGTTCCGAGTTGATCTTTGCTTTTAGCTTGTTAATTTCTGCATCCAGACTTTTAGCACTTCGAGTGACTTCAATCCTCTCAGGATAAATCTGCTTTGCTTGAGAGATTTTACCCTGGAAAATATTCAAATAATATTAAATAGGATAAGTGTGTTAATCTAGAAAAAATATTTTTAAATAAAAATCAACACATTTTCAACAGAATGCACACCATCTATATTTGAATCTAAAGAAATTTTTTTTCCTGTCAGAAGGTTTTGGAATTTTATCGAAGAAACATACTCAGTCCCACCTCATTGCACCATTAAAAATCAACCCACTTTGTGTTTCCCAATTGTAAACAGATTGGAATATCACTTTGGATAGCACTGCAATGTGATCTGAGAAACACAATAAGAAATGACAGTTTCAGACTAATCTGCTCTGCAGTAAAACCTTTGTCCTAGGTAGTAGCAACTAAGGGGTCTACCCACGCTCTCCTCGAACAGCATTTTACAAATTATTTTAGTAATAATATTTATTTTTAAATACTTGCGGTATATTTTAATAAAAGTAGAGCTATGGACATTCAACTATTTACATATTGCTAACAAGTTATAAATACATTTTAAAACAAGCCCTCACTGACCGCTGTAGCTGCAGACACTATGAAGTAAATCATCCCAAGTAACAATATAAACTGAGAAATTGTTCAAATTGGACCTCTGCACTATGATCTCCCATTTTTCTTGAGTGATTACATTAAAGATAAGTAGGCTGCTAAGTAAATACTGGAGGAGTGAGCAGAAAGAGCAGAGCTTCCAGGTCATTGCCGGGAGGGGAGCACGGCAAGCTGAGCTTCCAAGTCATTGCAAGGAAAAGCTGCATCAATCATAAAAAAAGTCACAGCTCCTGAACTGTGCTTGCAAAGCAGCTGGGAGGCCTTCTTAAAAGTCACAAAGACAGTTTTTTAAAGGGTGCATGCATGCCCTATTTTTAACTTTCAAATTCTGCTTGTTAAAAAAATGTACATATTTAAATGTTCATAGCCTGGCCACAGTTGTAATTTATGCAAATTCAATTCAGTTAAATTAAATGTAGAAAATGTCCCATGTTTATAATAACAGTGGACAACAATGATTTTATTTCCGGAACACTTTTTGGTGCATATTATAGAGGTTTGGCTGCTAATCATGAAAATGATCTGTTATTTTTAGAAATCTGTTTTTGCAATTCGCAATACCTGTTTGCTTTGTTATGCATATGAAAGAAGCATATGAAAATGTGGAACTGTTGTTGAAGCACATCCAGTACACTGGACTACCTTTAGAGATCTAAACGTAATTGCCCTGCAAACGTGGCAGCTGTGCAAGAGTCACATTACATTAAAAAGAAATGGCCACTCCAAATGAGTCTGTTCCAGGACAGAAAAATGTGCCACATAAACCACTTGTTGATTCAACAAAGATATTTTTGCCTCCACTTCATGTGAAACTCTGACTGATGAAAAATTTTGTGGAAGGGATGAACAAAGAAAGGAAAAGGTTTTTGTTATTTGAGACAAATGTTTCCAAGAATAACTGATGTCAAGTATAAAGTGATTCTAAACTCTAAGGGATCTTTACCTTAATGCATTCTATGCATCAAGGTAAACAACACCTCACTACCTGTTTTTCTTGCCCGTCCTGAAACACTTACCCGACTCCTCTCACAATCCAGTACTGTGCAGTCTGCAGCCCCGTTCTCCTTTTTTCCTCTTCTCACAGGAGACACAGGCAGCAATGGGAGCCATAAGCTCCTGCTGCTCTCAGTCAAATCCTGTGAGGAAGGTGCAGGGGGCGTTGCTGGGCCGTGTTGTGTGTCTCTATTTACACTCAATAATGGTGTGAACCGCCTGCGCTCAAACACTAATGGTGTAAGCAACCTAATTGGGAGCTGCTGCTAACAAATCATATACCAATGATCATGTAAAACAGTTGCATGGAGGATGATATTTTTCACCATCACTGCTGAGCCTTTTTTGTGTTCACATATATTAGTGTCACTTGTTATTAATTATTATTTTGCATGATTTCACTTAATTTGGCACTATATTACATATACTATATGTATTTTTTTCTCACTTATATTTTTTATGTATTTATATGTAGTAGTTTATGGGAGTAGCGCTACAGTCCTCCATGCATCTATTTACACTCAGCCCGCCTAAGCAGCACACCTGCACGGGTGACCCCTCAGTGCATGGCTTGCTGAGGTGGCACTCATAGGAAGGATGATTGAAGAGTGCCAGCGGGAGACTCTAGAAGATGAGGTAAGGGACCGCGCCGTGCAATTCCATTCCACAGAGCAGGTAGGTATAACATCTTTTTTTTTTATTTGTAAACAATATATTTTTTTTAATTTTCAGGAAAGAAGTGTGAATGCAGAGAATGAATCTTCAGTGCCTTGTTGCACTTTATGATCTTGTTTGCTGTGTGTTGCAAAAAAATTCTCATTGACATCCTTGGATGCTTTTCAGGTGATTTTTCTCTGGGCCCTACTAACAGATTTTAGAACTGCTTGTCATTAATGACATATCTAAACTGTGGACCAACAAAGATGCTTTTCTTGAAGTGATTTGTAAACGATAATTTTTTTTAATTTTCAGGAAAGAAGTTGAAGTTTTCAAAAATGTATCATTTACAAATCACTTAAAGAAAAGCATCTTTGTTGGTCCTCAGTTTAGATATGTCATTAATGACAAGCAGTTCTAAAATCTGTTAGTAGGGCCAGAGAAAAACCACCTGAAAAGAATCCAAGGATGTCAATGAGAACTACAAAGCAAAAGCTACATTCAGCTGGCTGACAGACATCATACAGCATACAAGATCATAAAGTGCAACAAGGCACTGAAGATTCATTTTCTACATACACACTTCAACTTCTTTCCTGAAAATCTAGGTGCAGCCGGTGATAAACATGGTGAAAGGTTTCACTAGGACATTGCTGCCAAGGAAAAACATTACCAGGGCAACTGGAATTCATCAATGCTTGCTGATGATTGTTGGACAATGAAGTGAGATGCACTCTACACTGACTACAAGCAAAAATTAGCAGAAAAACACTTTAAGCCTTTTGGTACTCACACAGCATGTCAGAAACATTACGCAATGAATATATTATAGGCAGTAAGAGGTAATTTCTCAAGATTTCTATGTGATAAAGTCATTCTGAAATTATATTTGTCCTCAGTTTGAAGAGGTCTATCATAACCCCTTGCCGACCCGCCAATGTACTTATACAGCAGATCTCAGTGCTCACTATGCAATCACATAATCACAACGTCAATAAAGCAGTTATGAATTAATTTATAATAGCTGTGTTTCCTATGCTGTGATTGGCCCACAGCTATTACATGGTACGTGGGCCAATCACGGCACCCTGTACCATGTGATTATCTGTAGCCAATGTACATTGGCTACAGCTAATCACATGAAATGTAACCCATGCATGACAGTTGAAAATGTTGCTGTTACAATGATCTTCATTGTAACAGCAAACAAATGTAAAAAAAAAAAAAAAAAATCCCTGATCACCTGCCCAGAGTAGTACAGTGTTACTATGGTGACACTGAACTACTCTTGATGAAAGTAAAAAAATGGTAAAAAATTAAAAGAATGTTAAAAGAGAAAAAAAAAAAAAAAAGTTTAAACAATTGAACATTTTTTTTTAAAACATACTGTCATCTGCCAGTGCCCTGATCACTGCCACATCAGTCATAAGATGGCGCGGTACAACACTGGTGACGGCATGTAAGAAATTCTATGCATGAAGGTAAAAAAAACTTTTGCATGCAGTTCCCCTCCCCCCAGCCCCCTAATACTTAGCTGAGCCCAATCTCGATCCAGTGATGTGCACGAGAGCAGAGGCTCTCTCCCTCCTCATCTCATTATAGACACACACAGGAGACTCAGAAGAGAGCATGCACAAGTGCCCCCAGAGCAAGCAGTTCACTATGCGGGCACTTAGCGTGGGGGGGGGGGGCTGGGGGTGAGCCAGGAGCACCGGAGGAGGACCTGAGAAGATGAGGACTGGGGCTGCACTGTGCAAAACAGCATTTCACAAAGCAGGTAAGTATGACATGTGTTATTTTTAAAACATAAAAATGTACCTTTACAAACACTTTAATGTTAATGACATCTGGAGCATTTCTAAACCAAATAATTAAAGTGTTACTAAACCCAGGACCCTGCATTCACTATATCTGCTCTCCCACAGTACATGGAAATGCAATTATTTTAGTAACTATAAACTGCTAAATTCCTTTTCTCATCAGCAGTCAGAGCAGTCTAGTGACTTCTATCAGTGTTCAGCAGAGCACTGAAAAAGCTTGTAGGAGGAGTTTTCTTTCTGCTCTAGGAAGATGCAAATCCCTGACCTCTGTCTGGCCCTGTGCTGATCACATGCACTCTCCCAAGAAATAGAAGAAAAAAAAAACTTATCTAGCAATACACAATAAACTGAGCATATGCAGAGTGTCTTAACAGGAGATACGAGGGGGGGACACTGGAAGAAAAAGAGGATCAGAGAAGTGAGGATCAATCAGCCTTTTTACACAATGCAGAGGATTAACCCCTTAGGTTCCACAGTGAGTATGACAATCATGCTTTACTGCATATACAGACGATTTTACTGTTGTGGGTTTAGTAACACTATAAAAGTTATTATCTTACCTCCAAGTCGCTTTCTTTGGCCTTCAATTCACGCTTGCTTTTCTCTATTCCCTGTAAATGCTGGCGGAGCTTTTCCTCATAATGCTTTTTATGACGCTTACAATTATCTACCTCCAGCTCCGCTTTATGGAGTTCTTCCTGGGAAAAAAAAAAACATTTTCAGAATAAATCAACCAAGAACCAGGTAGTGAACACCCCTAAAACATTGCAAGTGACATCTTATTTTCACAGCTGGAGATGAAAGAACATGACCAATGGCTGGCATAAATGTGTCTACCGGTTCTTGAACTGAAATGAGTGCCATCTCCAAACTTCAAGAATTAAAAGAAATTGACTAACCAGTAACTACTAGTTGCGAGGTTATTATTCTGACTCACTGGTTTGAGTACTGACCTAGGGAAGTGTGAAGATCAGAAAATTAGAGTAAAATCATAAGTCTGCTTACTTCTCCTGGGCCAGTGACTAAACGTACCAAAGCTGTTGTGCCAAGACCTACTAAAGTTGTGCAGAAGACACTCCAACATTGCCCATATTAGAAATCCTTGCATAATGTATGATGTAGGGGGCTTCTCACACGGTTTCTCAATGGGACTATGGCCAATCATCACCCGATTCTGTGTGCCCTTGATCTCATGTTCAAAGGTGTGTGGACAAGGGTGAAGTGAGGTAAGAGAAAGGGTGTTGCTGGAACCAGAGAACACGTTCACAAGCTTAGATGATAAGGGTATGAACTACTATAGTGATTCAGCTGAGAACAAAGCCAGATGTACAAGACGAATGTTGGAAACAAAAACCAAAGCCAAAATGTGTTACATTTTCATTTTTGACTGAAAAAGGAAAAAAAGACTTAATTCTTCACATTACAGAAGTACATGATGTGGCCCTACATGTATTGTGTAATCTTCTTACTCAATATCCTTATGACATTACCAGTAAACACACACGCGATTAATCAATGTCTTACAATCCTTGGCTCTGTGTACATTATTTCATTTTCCATATAAATGGGGGGGGGGGCAGCCATATTTACTCATTACACATGTAGGCTTTCCTTTTTTAGTGTATTGCTGATCATCTTACTTCACTGCAAATCTACTAAAGTATTTGAAAACAACTGATTCTGCCAGCTCAGTTGATCAGTACTAGCATAGCATGTGATTTAGGCTGCCTAAGCTAGGAGGATATTTTTTTAAAGGAGCATCTTTACTCCCAACAATGGGATTTATTAACTAAATGTACTCAGTCAAGCCATACCTTTAAAAAGGAGACAGTATATACATACCCCAGTTGTGCCACACAACAGTTGTCAGTAGAAATCAGCACAAAAAGACTACAACTTTCCAAAGTGTTGATGTCTTCGTCTCCCACAACTCTAACCAGCTCCTCCCAGCAACCTGTACAACTATGTAAAGGTTGTCAGGAGGAACCAGCGAGAGCTGCAGGGGACCAAGATGCAAACACTCCAAGAGTGTCATTTTCTCTAACCTGAGGATATGATTTCTGAGGATCAATGGGATATTTGGCAGAAAGGGCAGTGGGAAAAGTGAGTATTTGCAATCTTCTTTAACAGGTATAGCTTAATGTGGACATGTACCCTACAGATTCTTGTGAGGTATGAATCTTTAAGATGGGTTCACTTGCAAACTTTATTGTTCTGTCAGAAAAAAGACATAGTATATACCTTTACTGGATCTGCCAACTCAGACACAGAACTGATTTTCTTTTTTACGTTCTCATACTGAAACTCAGAAGTCACAAACAGAGATTTTAGGTGTTCCATGTTCTTCTGCTCCTTCTCCATCTCAAATCTCACCAGATCAATTTTTCTCTTGTCTTCCTGCAATTCATTTTCCTGATACACAAAAAAAAAAATAATAATAAAAAAATCATGTGTCAGATCCACCAAACCCCATTCACTGTGAATACATGCAATAATAGTCTGACATATCCATGTGCAGCTATGAAATACTAACACTGAGACACAATGATAGGGGCCGATTCATAACACACAGTAGATATTAATACTGTTATACTCTGTTTTGATCTGTATTTTACCCCCCTTTTATAAAATGCAAGCCATAGTATTGAATCAGCGATCCCCAACAGAACTATCTCTGCTCAACACAGCTCTGTGATTGGAGAAGAGAGTCCTGTAAATATAAAGAAAAATTCTGGGATGAGCTTAAAATCTGTAAAATAGAGATGTTTACACAGGCAAGCAAAACAGCTAATGTCATTTTCAATATAACTGTAAACTTTGTAGAAAACTCAGTTTAAAAAAAGCGGTAATGCCATTTTTTCCCCGGCTTCCTCTCAAATCCCCAGGCTCTGGGAGGAGGAATCTCAGAAGCAGCGACGTCAGTTCATGTTCAGGTTTGTCAGAGCTCACTAAGACAATTCCCATCATGCCCTGGGATTTAGAATCTCGAGTGGGCGAGACTATTGGTGTATTGATCAGTAGTAATCTACAAATAGCACACTTGACGCATTGCTGCACACTCCTCTGTCGTAGGAGGTGGGACAGACCAGATAGAGGAGTATCAGACTGGGCAGTGGGTGGATCAGACCGGCAGTCTGAGACTCACGGGTCTACCTATTGGAGTGAGCAGCAACACTTGCTTTCAAATGAATGCAAGAGGGATGTGCAAGATCTGTGGCTGGGGAGAAAAAAAAGCCACCAGTCTTGTGAACAGGATATGAGGGGGATAGAGAGACTTTCATGCAATAAAGAATGCTGGATTTCTCACTGACAACAGGACTAAATACAATACCACTGACAATTTATTGACTGGTAAGGGAGCACCTGGAGCTCTCTTAACTGGTCACATGACTGAGCTCTGTTTTATTTTTTAGTAAACTTTTTATGTCTCACATACATACACACACACTTTTTTTTTTTATATGGCTTTTTGGTTTCCTTCCACAGGACAATATTTGTTCACAAATCATACACTTACATGTGATTTACATGTGAATGTTATATTGTTCTCTTTTATGAATTTAAAACAATAAAATATTGAAGAACGAGATTTATCTACATATAAAATATTCATCTCACCAATGTTGAAATATCAATAGATGGTGGCTCCTCTACACTTTCCAGATCTGTTATACGAGCATTAGCTTTTCTGAGCTGGTCCTGTAACAATAAAAGAAAAGTATGACAAATCGAAAATCCTAGTTTTAACCCTTTTGCTGCCAGGCTTATGTGACCGGACCATTTCTTCCATTTATCCATTTTTTTTTAAACTTTTCTCTTACAGCTTTCAGGGTTTGTAAAAGACACACCAAACCATATTTGTCTCAAAGCATAGGACCAGTAGAATAAAAAAGGAGGTGCTACTGATTATATTAGGCCCTGTGATATTTGCAGAAATGTTTATTAAAAAAAATATTTTCACTAAAAACACTAAAATCATTATTTGTGGACAAATACATGGCAAAACTTACAAAATTCCTGCTAAATATGAAAGGGATCACATGTTGTGACTGCAGTTTGTAGTGTCATGGCTGATCGATTCCTCTATATTCATTCACCTAGTTTGCCCCTCTTCGCTAAAGAAACAGGCCACTTCTTCTGCCGGGTTGTGCAGTGTCCAATCCATGCCTTGACATTTTCATGAAAACCCCAAATCCACAATCTCTGAAAATTAGAATATTGTGAAAAGGTGCAATATTCTCGGCTCAAAGTATCCCGCTCTAATCAGCTAATTAAGCCATAACACCTGCAAAGGGTTCCTGAGCCTTTAAATGGTCTCTCAGTCTGGTTCAGTCGAATCACAATCATGGGAAAGACTGCTGACCTGACAGTTGTGCAGAAAACCATCATTGACACCCTCCATAAGGAGGGAAAACCTCAAAAGGTAATTGCAAAAGATGTGGAAGGGAAAAGTGTGGAAGAAAAAGGTGCACAAGCAGCAGGAATGACCGCAGCCTGGGAAGGATTGTCAGGAAAAGGCCATTCAAAAGTGCTGGGGACTTTCACAAGGAGTGGACTGAGGCTAGAGTCAGTGCATCAAGAGCCACCACACACAGACGGATCCTGGACATGGGCTTCAAATGTCATATTCCTCTTGTCAAGCCTCTCCTGAACAACTAACAACGTCAGAAGCGTCTTACCTGAGGCTAAAGAAAAACAGACCTAGTCTGTTGCTCAGTGGTCCAAAGTCCTCTTTTCTGATGAGAGCAACTTTTGCATCTCATTTGGAAACCAAGGACCCAGAGTATGGAGGAAGAATGGAGAGGCACAGACTGCAAGATGTTTGAAGTCCAGTGTGAAGTTTCCACAGTCTGTGTTGATTTGGGGAGCCATGTCATCTGCTGGTCTTGTCCACTGAGCTTCATTAAGTCCAGGGTCAACGCAGCCGTCTACCAGGAGATTTTGGAGCACTTCATGCTTCCTTCTGCAGACAAGCTTTATGGGGATGCTGACTTCATTTTCCAGTAGGACTTAGCACCTGCCCACACTGCCAAAGCACCAAAACCTGGTTCAATGACCGTGGGATTACTGTGCTTAATTGGCCAGCAAACTCGCCTGACCTGAACACCATAGAGAATCTGTGGGGCATTGCCAAGAGAAAGATGAGAGACATGAGACCGAACAATGCAGAAGAGCTGAAGGCCGCTATTGAAGCATCCTGGTCTTCCATAACACCTCAGCAGTGCCATAGGCTGATAGCTTCCATGCCACGCCGCATTGAGGCAGTAATTGCTGCAAAAGGGGCCCAAAACCAAGTACTGAGTACATATGCATGCTTATACTTTTCAGAGGTCCGATATTGTTCTATGTACAATCCTTGTTTTATTGATTGCAAGTAATATTCTAATTTTCTGAGATTGTGGATTTGGGGTTTTCATGAGCTGTAAGCCATAATCATCATAATTATGACAAATCACGGCTTGAACTATCTTGCTTTGCATGTAATGAGTCTATCTCATATATTAGTTTCACCTTTTAAGTCGCAATACTGAAATAAATGAACTTTTGCACGATATTCTAATTTTTCGAGTTTCACCTGTATACGTACTTGTGTTTGTGCTGGGAGTGCGCTGCACAGATACCAGGCTATCACTGGGATGCCCGGGTTCCGTACTAGCAATCAGGACCCGGGACTCCTGATTCTGGGTCAACTAATTGCTATGATAGCCTCTGATTGGCTATCATAGTGATTAGTCACTGTGCAGCGCGCCAGTGTTTTCTTTTCTCTCTGACTGGGGGAGAGAAACAATGTTTATTTTTATGTTTATGTGCAATCCTTGTTTTATTGATTGCATGTAATATTCTAATTTTCTGAGATTGTGGATTTGGGGTTTTCATGAGCTGTAAGCCATAATCATCACAATTATGACAAATCACGGCTTGAACTATCTTGCTTTGCATGTAATGAGTCTATCTCATAGATTAGTTTCACCTTTTAAGTGGCATTACTGAAATAAATGAACTTTTGCACAATATGCTAATTGTTCGAGTTTCACATATGTATGTATGTATGTATATACAGTCAGGTCCATAAATATTGGGACATCGACACAAATCTAACATTTTTGGCTCTATGCACCACCACAATGGATTTGAAATAAAACGAACAAGATGTGCTTTAACTGCAGACTGTCAGCTTTAATTTGAGGGTATTTACATCCAAATCAGGTGAACGGTGTAGGAATTACAACAGTTTGCATATGTGCCTCCCACTTGTTAAGGGACCAAAAGTAATGGGACAGAATAATAATCATAAATCAAACTTTCACTTTTTAATACTTGGTTGCAAATCCTTTGCAGTCAATTACAGCCTGAAGTCTGGAACGCATAGACATCACCAGACGCTGGGTTTTTCATCCCTGGTGATGCTCTGCCAGCCCTCTACTGCAACTGTCTTCAGTTCCTGCTTGTTCTTGGGGCATTTTCCCTTCAGTTTTGTCTTCAGCAAGTGAAATGCATGCTCAATCGGATTCAGGTCAGGTGATTGACTTGGCCATTGCATAACATTCCATTTCCTTCCCTTAAAAAACTCTTTGGTTGCTTTTGCAGTATGCTTTGGGTCATTGTCCATCTGCACTGTGAAGCGGCATCCAATGAGTTCTGAAGCATTTGGCTGAATATGAGCAGATAATATTGCCCAAAACACTTCAGAATTCATCCTGCTACTTTTGTCAGCAGTCGCATCATCAATAAATACAAGAGAACCAGTTCCATTGGCAGCCATACATGCCCACGCCATGACACTACCACCACCATGCTTCACTGATGAGGTGGTATGCTTAGGATCATGAGCAGTTCCTTTCCTTCTCCATACTCTTCTCTTCCCATCACTCTGGTACAAGTTGATCTTGATCTCATCTGTCCATAGGATGTTGTTCCAGAACTGTGAAGGCTTTTTTAGATGTTGTTTGGCAAACTTTATTCTTGCCTTTCTGTTTTTGAGGCTCACCAATGGTTTACATCTTGTGGTGAACCCTCTGTATTCACTCTGGTGAAGTCTTCTCTTGATTGTTGACTTTGACACACATACACCTACCTCCTGGAGAGTGTTCTTGATCTGGCCAACTGTTGTGAAGGGTGTTTTCTTCACCAGGGAAAGAATTCTTCGGTCATCCACCACAGTTGTTTTCCGTGGTCTTCTGGGTCTTTTGGTGTTGCTGAGCTCACCGGTGCGTTCCTTCTTTTTAAGAATGTTTCAAACAGTTGTTTTGGCCACGCCTAATGTTTTTGCTATCTCTCTGATGGGTTTGTTTTGTTTTTTCAGCCTAATGATAGCTTGCTTCACTGATAGTGACAGCTCTTTGGATCTCATCTTGAGAGTTGACAGCAACAGATTCCAAATGCAAAAAGCACACTTTAAATTAAATCTGGACCTTTTATCTGCTCAATGTAATTGGGATAATGAAGGAATAACACACACCTGGCCATGGAACAGCTGAGAAGCCAATTATCCCATTACTTTTGGTCCCTTAACAAGTGGGAGGCACATATGCAAACTGTTGTAAAACCTACACCGTTCACCTGATTTGGATGTAAATGCCCTCAAATTAAAGCTGACAGTCTGCAGTTAAAGCACATCTTGTTCGTTTCATTTCAAATCCATTGTGGTGGTGTATAGAGCCAAAAATGTTAGAATTGTGTCGATGTCCCAATATTTATGGACCTGACTGTATATATATATATATATATATATATATATATATATATATATATAAAATGTGATTTTGCACCTCTGGGTAGGGGGTGCATGCGAGGCACACGCCCTACCATTCGCGACTGGTGATTACTTGCGGCGCCGTTGATTGCCGAGCATCTCCGACGGGGAGGACAACTGCTTGTAAACAAAACAGTTCTCCTCCTTGTCAGCTCATGCACACAGCCATGCAAAGAACTGTGATTACAGTGAAGCACAAACACACAGCCCCATAGTAAAACACACCCAGCACAGTTAACCATTTGATTGCCCCTCATATTAACCCCTTCCTGCCCAGTGCCATTAGTACAGTGTCGGTGCTTTTTTTTTTTTTGTAGCACCGATCACTGTATTGGTGTCACTGGGGATGTCAGTGAAACCAAGTCAGTTCCCCCCAGTTATCAGAATGTTCGCCGCAGTCCCGCTATAAGCCACTGATCGCCGCCATTACTAGTAAAAATAAAAATTCCAGTATCTATACCACCATGTCTAAATGCTATAACTTTAATGTAAACCAATTTACACGTATTGGGATTTTTTTTAGAAAATACATGTAGTAAAATACATTTTGGCCTAAATTTATGACGAAATGTGGTTTTTTAAATTTTTTTTTACTGGACATGTTTAATAGCAAAAAGAAAAAAATACAGTTTTTTTTCCTAAAAATTGTCGTTTTTATTTTTTTTATAGCGCAAAAAATAAAAACCGCACAGGCAATCAAATACCATCAAAAGAAAGTTCAATTTCATTTGGGTGCAGCGTTGACCGCGCAATTGTCAGTTACAGTAACGCAGCACCGTAACGCAAAAAATGGCCTGCTCAGGAAGGGGGGGGGGTAAATCCCTCAGGAGAGCAAGTGCTTAAGGGCATAATCTGCTAGTATGTCATCTCATACTGGCAACATTATGAAAGATTTACCTTAAAACAAGCCCTCCAGCAGCATGCTGTCATCGTTGAAGGGGCTTCCATCTTTACGGGCTCCGGCTGTTTGAAAGGCTGAGCCGTGATGATGGCGCTTCCGTGCATAAACATGGGAGCCACGATCATGAGCGCTGTGAAGGGACAGCACACTCAGTATGCTGTCCAGCGTACAGTGCACATTCACTGGTGACACTACCAGCTGCAGAATAATGAATATCTGCTGAGTGGTGCACGTTTAGGAGATATTCCTTGTACCTACAGTAAGCTTTATTATAAGCTTACCTGTAGGTATAAGTCACCATGCGGTGTTTACTTTAATGGAGAGCATAGTCTCCATATGCTACAGTGCAACAAAAACTGTTTTTAGAGCTGCACAAATATATGGACCACAACATAAAGTGAGTCACACATCTTCAAAGTAAATAACATAACTAAGGAGAGAGTAGCGTCCTGCCAGCAAGTGTACATGACTGACTGCCTGCTTTAACCACTTGCCTACTGGGCACTTATACCCCCTTCCTGCCCAGGCCAATTTTCAGCTTTCAGCGCTGTCGCACTTTGAATGACTATTGTGTGGTCGTGCAACACTGTTCCCATATGACATTTTTTATCATTTTTTTCACAAAAATAGAGATTTTCTTTTGGTGGTATCTATTCGCCGCTGTTTTTTTTTTTGCGCTATAAACAACAACAAAAAATGCAAAAAATTTGAAAAAAAAATTGATGGGCTGCACTGCTGAGTGGCACTACTAGGAACTGATGGGCACAGGTGGGTGGCACTAATGGGCACTGATCATCAGTGCCCCGATGATCGGTGTTGATCCGTTCTCTGACAATTGTCAGTTATTGGCAGCACTTTCCTCACACAGCGCGAGGAAAGTGCAGCCAATAACCGGCAACTCAATTTACCCGGTGATCTGCTGTGTCACTGAATACAGCTGATCACATGGTAAAAGGCTGCTGTGATTGGCCTTTTATCATATCACATAATCAGCTGAGTCCGTAGGACACAGAGATCACCGGGTGCGCTCCCCAGGGGTGCGTGGGAGGGCACATTCTGGGAGGACGTCATATGACGCCCTCCCAAAACTGGACAACTGCGCTGTAGCCGTCATTTGGTTATAGAGCTGTTGGCAAGTGGTTAAGTAGTAGATGTATAATCATATGCAGTATTTTATATATGCATGATTATATACACAGATGTGCTCTAGTGTGCTTTACCTGTATCATTTTCTTTGTGCCATGGTGCTGTTGTAGAAGGTTTTCATTTTTCTTGATGTCGCTTTTTAAGGAAAGAACTCTTTGCTGGATTGTATATAGTTGGGAGGCCACATTTTGGACTTCTCCTTCCAAGTGACTGCAGAACACATTTATATATTAATTCAACATATAAAGATACAACAGCTCATAGCTTTTATACTGTTTATTGGTAAATGCTATGGCTGCTATTTCCTTAAAAAATATTTCTAGATCTTAATAAAATAATAATCGATCTGGTGGTCTTATAACCAGACAAATTAATGGTACCATTGTTCAGGGAATAAAAGGAAACCTGTGCTATTTTCTGTGCTGGGTTATCATTTATACCTTCCCTCCAAAAATGCTAGTTGTCCAATTGTCTCTGGATTTAAAATTGTTAAAAAAAAAAAAAAAAAAACAGCTCTGGAGCAAACATGCAAATAGGAATGTATTGAAGCCAAAATATCAGCATGATGCAAAGTTTTAATATTTTAGAAGGGGAGGTAAGCATTGGGATGCTCTTCTTCAGAATTTGTTTAATAGCTAGGGTAAGTTGTGAATGCATAATACGATATAATAAAAAATCCAAAAAGCAATGATGTACCCACCCAATTTCCACTTCCACATCTCGGCTTAGGTATGTGGCTCTGAAATAGTCTGATGAATAGTAGCGGTTTTTAAACACTTGGTCTCCATCCGCAGTAAAAGCTTCTCTACAGTTTCTAGGTGGTTGTCTCTTCTGCATTATCTCTCGCGCCTCACTATTATTCTGATAAAAGATCAGTGAAACATTGTAAACAGACATTTCCTTTAAAACATATACAGTAAGTTCCCGACTTACGAACGAGTTCCTTTCCGGGAGAACGTTCGTAAATTGGATTCGTTTCGCAAGTCCGACAAAGTGAGTCTTATACACCTTAGACACAAATATACAATGTAAAGCATAAAAAAAAAAAAAACACACAAAAATACTGTAAATAAACTATATTTACTTTTACAGTTACCTTAAAATGGTGGTACAGTACAGTACAGTACAGTACCACAACTGGCATATAGTGGAAGAGAGTTACTAACTGGAGGAGGGAGGGTAGGTGGGAGATGGTGGAGCACAAGGATCATCAGCAATAGGAGATGGAGGGCAAGATGGAATTTGGCCAACACCTGATGTTGACGGAGCTGAAGAATCATCAGCAATAGGAGATGGAGGGCAAGATGGAATTTGGCCCATACCTGGATGTTGATGGAGCTGAAGGATCATCAACAATAGATGGAGGGCAAGATGGAATTTCACTCACACCGGATGTTGATGAAACTGGTTTTTTGATGGATTCAATTCTGTCTACCCTCTGGAAAAAATTATCCAGTGATGTCCGAATAGTAGCTCTTTTTTTCTCATCATAGATGACTCTGTAGCACTGGATGGCATTCTGAACAGCTGCTGAAACCTTTGTGTATTGTTCTACATTGGGTTCCTGTTCCTCAAAAACAAACAGTGCCTCTTCAAGTAAAGATAATCCCCTTGCCATTTCCTGTGTTGTGAATCTCTTTGGTTCTTCAGTTACATCTTCCTCTTTGGCTCTCCATCTTTTCGCTGGGCCTCTAATTCCATCAGGTCCTCATTGGTAAGCTCCTCGTGTTGCAGAGCAAACAGTTCAATGAAGTCGTCCTCTTGAAGATCTAGTTCCAGATTCGTGCTAAGGATCACTAAGTTGTTGAAGACCTCTCTGGATTCCTTACCAATCTTCTCAAGTCCATGAACTTCATGAACAAACTGCGGGCAAAGTTTCTTCCAAACCCCATTGATGGTGACTGCCAAAACCTCATGTCAAGCAAAGTTGATGTTTTTTATGGCTTTGTAGATGTTATAGTCCTTCCAAAATTGTTGCAAGGTTGTTCCCGTTTCATCAATAGCCTTCACTGACTTATGAAAAAATCCATAGGTTGGATGAGCACCATAGTATTCGGTGGCAGATGCACTGCTTTGACGTTGGGATGAAAGTCATTCATGAATTGGGGGTGACCTGGTGCATTGTCAAGCACCAAAAGAATGTTGAATGGGATATCTTTCTCCAAATAATATTTCTACATCTCTGGGATAAAGTGGTGGAAAAAATAATCCTGGAAAATAGCCTGTGTAACCCAGGCTTTGGAGTTACTCTTCCACACAACAGGTAGAGAGCCATTGGCTATGTTTTTGAGGGCTCTTGGGTTCTCTGAATGGCAAAGAAAGGCTTTCGCTTCATATCACCGGAAGCATTGCCACCAAACAACAGAGTAAGTCTGTCCTTTGCTGCTTTGAAGCCTGGCATCACCTTTTCCTCTTTACTGATGTAACATTGTTCTGGCTTCCTCTTCCAGTAGAGTCCTGTCTTGTCGATGTTAAAATGCTGTTGAGGTAAATAAGCACCTTTGTTAATAATTTCTCTAAGTGTTGCTGGAAATTCTTGGGCAGCTATGGTATCTGCACTCGCAGCCTCACCGCTTACTTTACGTTGTGAAGGTTGGCTCTAGCCTTGAATCTGTTAAACCATCCATGGCTGGCAGTAAAAGATGCACACTGTTCACCTCGTTTTTTCTTCAAGTCTTCAAACAGGCTTTTAGCTTTTTCTTGAATAAGCATTAAGCTGAGGGGACTCGACTCTGATCCTGCATCCACACACTGAGAAGTTTCTCCATCTCCTCTATGACTTTACCACGCTTTTTGGATAATATTGTTGACTTCTGTTGACTTTGTAGGCACAGCAGACTTCACATGTTCCATGATCTTGGCCTTGTTCTTTAGAATTGTGCCAATGGTTGAACGATTTATGCTACAGATATACGAGCAATGCCTACCATCTTTTCGCCTTGGTCTAATTTCTCAATTATTTTCACTTTTGTTTCTATGGTTATTGCTTTGCGCTTCCTAGCAGTCCCCTCCACATCACCACTGCTTTTCTTCTTGCTTCCGGACATCCTGGGCTCTGTACAGTACACTATCGCACTGTACAGAGAGCACACAGTAGCACAACTGTGACAATGTGCAGCTGTGACTATGTCCGGCAGACACGGGAGCTACTTCCACAATTTGTTTTGCATATACGAATGTTTGTAATGCAAGGTCTCTGTGAAAGTTCGCAACTCGAATGTTCCTAAGTCGGGCACTTACTGTACTTTATTTTTGAAGATTTAGACATAGAAAATGTAACAGATCCCACGTCAAGATAGTGATGGAGACTGCCAAATAATAAGCACACCGATTATTTAAAAATTAATGTCCTAAAATTAAATTAGATAAGATTAAAGAAAAAAAAAAATCCTAGAATGTTTTATGAGTGAATGGCACAGATCAGACAAGTGATTGGCAGGCTATCACAGCAATAGTGATTTAAGAAAGCAAAACTAGATACCTTAATGAGCAGCACTGTTTCAATTGCCCTCATGTCAATCAGGCAGTTAGCGACCACAGGGTTTTCAATCTCCAAAGCAGTGAACACGGTTGGGTAATTATGATGGTAAACGGCACTAAATAAAAATATAAGCATGTCAGCTCTAATTGCTGCAAATCTATTACACATAATTCAGTAACGCTGACCTCCAGACAGCAGTAAAAAAAATAGTATCATGAGCTAGCACCCCCCACCCTCCTATTCCCAGATAGCAAGGTCTAACAAACGTATCAGTCTCACGATTGTGTAGAGACCTACTAACCTTATTCCTCTCAAACAGGCTTCCTACCCACCATGCAACCAGTCCCATGAAAGCCCCGCCTTCTTATATCATCACATATATTGAACACATCGATGGTATGAGTATGTCAACATTCCAGGAGACTAATGCAGACCCATAGACGGGTCGAACAGCGGTCGATTTTTCAAACGATAAACGAAAAAATTTAGTCGACTAAACCATAAAGTTCACCCCATAACTTCTGTCCCTTGCAGGTCACTGCTAATGCGCCGATTTTTTATCGTTAAAATGATTGGCTGATTTTGCCATCATTGCCGGAAAAATCAGCCAATCGTCCAAATCAGCCGCGAATTTTCCAACATGACCGAAAATCTCAAAGTGCAAAAAAACTGAAAAACAGCCAACCAATTAACCCACTAACGGTGCGAAAATCAAACTATTTTTTTTCGAACAGTCTATGGCCGGTATAAGTTGCTGGGAGGGGGTGCAGCGAAGAATAAGGTAAATATTTATTTTGTACATCCCCTACACTAAATAAGCCATTAAAAGGATAGGTTAAAGTTCACATCCAGGAAATTTAAAAAAAAATCGGGCCCTGCAAGAGTTAAATGCTTGTTATGTCTAGGGATAAACAGTGCAGGCTCTATGACTTACCTTATACCACTACCCTACTGCTCTGACTGAAGCTCCGGTCTGTGGGTAGAGCGTTGCCACCATCTCGTACAATACAGGGACATCACGCTGTATTCTATGTTTAAGAGGATGGAGTGAGACCTAAGCTCCCCTGCGGAGAAACATTTGCTGTGGACAAAAAGAGCTATTAACTCTTGCATTGTAGGCAGAGGAGCCCACTGCAAGAGTGATTTTTTTTAAATTCCTAATGTCCCAAAGACTTTAATGGGTCATACCCGTACTGCAGGAGCAAGACTATAGTAAATTTAATCAGCTACCCTGCAATTGCACATATTTAATTTATGCTTTTTGCCCATATACATTATTGTGAATTATTATCTATTATCTGCATGTACATGTCCTTGCACAGGAAGTCACAGCAAAGTCAAAGTAGGCTAATATCATGGCTAGGATGGGAGAAGCAGAGAGTACCTAGCATAACTAAACATTAGACCATCCCTGAAGAGCTGAAAGCCTATGACATTTTCATCAGCGGTTTCAGGAAAACACAAAGGTTTAATAAACACGTAGGGCTGCAGGTAAGTATTGCAGTGTATAAATAGGAAACTTTGATCTAGTGAAAGCTCCTTGGTTTCAAACAATATAAAGTACAAAAACCAGCATTTTGGGATGTACAAGTTGTTATATCTAAACTCTAGACAATGAAATATAAACAACGCAATCCCTCCTAATGTGATTAACATAGGTGTGGAAAAAACAACGCATTTAATATTTACCTCATAAACGCTGTTTTTGTTTCACAATTTTTGCAATTTCAATGCACATGTGATTATGTCACCACAGATTCTAAATGTCCTCTGCAGCAAAACCCTTGAGCCCTTGGGAGGGGTTTGTGGCAACCTGGGAAGTGATAGGGTAGAGCAGATAGTGTCTATCACTGTCCACTAAAAAAGGTTCCTCAGCAAGGGGAGAGTGAATACACAAATACTTTCAATTTGGCATAGAATTTCACTTAATCTGGGGGCACTGAATTTTGTGCCTGAAAAAAAAGACAAATTAAAAAAAAAAAAAAAAATGAAATAAAGTAAAAAATTCAATCCTCTCACCGTTGTGAGACATCATAAACTCGGTCTCGGAACTCATTTACAATGATCGATGGTCGATGACCATGTGGGAAGTCCCTTGACATCAGATTTTGCAGAGTTCTCTCATCTTGGTGATTATCATCACAGCAGAAAGCAAGGAGCAGGGACTTCAGACAACTTTCCACAGCAAGATCAAGCTGTGGGTCTTTTAGACGAATGCAAGAACCTACAATCACAATAAAAATATTGATGTACAAGGAAACAAATTAAAAAGCAAAGCAGAAACAGAACCCACTAAGACTGAAAACTGCTTTGTGGCAATGTTGCACAACCACAATGCAGCTGCCTTTTTTACATATCAGTTTGACATGGACAAAGCACCAGATATATTTTTCATGTTTACTGCATATACAGTCATGGCCAAAAATATTGGCAACCCTGCATTTCTGTCAGATAATGCACCACTTCGCCCAGACAATTGTTGCAATTACAAATGTTTAGGCACTCTCATGTTCTTTGCTGCTCTTTCTCTTCTCCATGCTCCATGTGGAACATAAGGACACACACAGAAAGGTTGAGTCAATTTTGAGGTTTTTTTTTGAGTCAACTGTTTGAACTGGTTGTCAGTGTGATTTCTATATTGTCAGCACCTGTTAATTGATACAAGTGAGTTTAATTACAAATTACAGGAGCATCAAAAACTTGGCATACAATTATTTCTTACAATTTTGAGAAGGTGCCAATAATGTTGTTCATTCCATCTTTGGAGTATTGCATGGAATGTGTCAGATTTGGCTTTTTGTTTCTCAACTTTTTTGTGTCATATCAATACAAACAAAAGAAATAAAAATGAGAATCCATAAATATTTTTAATTGCAACAATTTTCTGGGCAAAGTGGTACATTATCTGACAGAAATGCAGGGGTGCCAAAAATTGTGACCATAACTGTATTTTAATGTATAAGCATACTGGCATTAAAGAAATTGTGGCATGTATTTGCAGAAAAAGAAGCACCTGAAGGTAAAGATATTCAAGAGGCTATGCCACAAGGAGACAGTTGTGTAACTATCAAGAGTGATGGGGGAGGGCTTCAGAGACCCATAAAAGCAGACATACACTTTAACTCTACAGCATCTACCAAAAACTGAAAAATAAGATTTGGGTGAAATAAGCTTAAAATAGATGTAAACACCAAATGAATGACATTCGGTTTGATCAAGAAACGTGTATCAGAAACAACTGAAATCATTTACAATAAAATACTTGCATTTGCCTTTTTTATCCTCTAAAATACTGAAAACTATTTTAAAGGGACTGCACATGCATGCATTATTGTTCATACAGAACAGGCCTGCATACTTTCTTTCTCTGTTGTTCTATTTTTTATTTCTTAAAAGTCACAGGAGAGGGATGGAGAACAAAACACATACAGTGGGGATCGAAAGTTTGGGCACCCCAGCTAAAAATTTGTATTAATGTGCATAAAGAAGCCAAGGAAAGATGGAAAAATCTCCAAAAGGCATCAAATTACAGATTAGACATTCTTATAATATGTCAACAAAAGTTAGATTTTATTTCCATCATTTACACTTTCAAAATAACAGAAAACAAAAAAATGGCGTCTGCAAACGTTTGGGCACCCTGCAGAATTTATAGCATGCACTGCCCCCTTTGCAAAGCTGAGACCTGCCAGTGTCATGGATTGTTCTCAATCATCGTCTGGGAAGACCAGGTGATGTCAATCTCAAAGGTTTTAAATGCCCAGACTCATCTGACCTTGCCCCAACAATCAGCACCATGGGTTCTTCTAAGCAGTTGTCTAGAAAACTGAAACTGAAAATAGTTGACGCTCACAAAGCTGGAGAAGGCTATAAGAAGATAGCAAAGCATTTTCAGATGTCAATATCCTCTGGAATGTAATTAAGAAATGGCAGTCATCAGGAACAGTGGAAGTTAAAGCAAGATCTGGAAGACCAAGAAAAATATCAGACAGAACAGCTCGCAGGATTGTGAGAAAAACAATTCAAAACTCACGTTTGACTGCACGATCCCTCCAGAAAGATCTGGCAGACACTGGAGTTGTGGTACACTATTCCACTATAAAGAGATACTTGTACAAATATGGTCTTCATGGAAGAGTCTCAGAAGAAAACCTCTTTTATGTCCTCACCACAAAAATCATCGTTTGAACTTTGCAAATGAACATATAGACAAGCCTGATGCATTTTGGAAACAAGTTCTGTGGACCGATGAGGTTAAAATTGAACTTTTTGGCCGGAATGAGCAAAGGTACGTTTGGAGAAGAAGGGGCACAGAATTTAATGAAAAAAACCTCTGTCCAACTGTTAAGCATGGGGTTGGATCAATCATGCTTTGGGGTTGTGTTGCAGCCAGTGGCACAGGGAACATCTCATGAGTAGAAGGAAAAATGGATTCAATAAAATGTCAGCAAATTTTGGATGGTAACTTGATGCCATCTGTGAAAAAGCTGAAGTTAAGAGAGGATGGCTTCTACAAATGGATAATGATCCTAAACACATCTCGAAATCCATCGGGGATTACATCAAGAGGCGTAAACTGAAGGTTTTGCCATGGCCTTCACAATCTCCTGATCTCAACATAATTGAAAATCTATGGATAGACCTTAAAAGAGCAGTGCGTGACAGACAGCCCAGAAATCTTAAAGAACTGGAAGACTTTTGTAAGGAAGAATGGGCAAAGATACCTGAAACAAGAATTGAAAGACTCTTGGCTGGCTACAAAAAGCATTTACAAGCTGTGATACTTGCCAAAGGGGGCAGTACAAGATATTAACTCTGCAGGGTGCCCAAACTTTTGCAGACGCCATTTTTTTGTTTTCTGTTATTTTGAAAGTGTAAATGATGGAAATAAAATCTAACTTTTGTTGACATATTATAAGAATGTCTAATCTGTAATTTGATGCCTTTTGGAGATTTTTCCATCTTTCCTTGGCTTCTTTATGCACATTAATACAAATTTTTAGCTGGGGTGCCCAAACCTTCGATCCCCACTGTAGCTATACTGATATCCACAGTTCAAAATGCAGACGCGTGAAAGGAATTTCTTAATAAAAGCAAAACACATTCACCAAATGTAATTCAAGATAGAATATTACAGAACATACCCAATGGTCCAATGGGTTTTTTCCTGAAACGACCCTGTCTGTAGGCCTCATCAATTGCTGCTAAAAGAGATGGCATATTTTGTCCAAATCTCTTCAGTCTGTCTGTTTTGCTGTCCTGAAATTCCTTTATTTGCCTTTTCAGTCTATCGATCCCATATTTTAGATCCCGCTCTTTATTACTGTTGACAATCAAACAGGAAGTAATATAAAGTGAAAGAGATCTTTGATTGAAATTGAATAGGAGAAATACCAAAATCATGAATGAGCCAAGCAAACGTATAAACCAGCGGTGGCACTGTCATTTTTTTCTACAACACTGATCTAACTTACCTGAGTCTGTAACCTGTATACACAGAAATGAACATGAGGGCCATGGAGCATACCTTAGGGCAACACAAGTTGCCTTTGTGTAGCCTCCCTACCGGTCTGATTATGTCAATATTTCTGTGCTCAAAGCGGTACATTTTTTTTGCATGGAAATATGTAGTTTTTTTTGTAGGCCTGTAATTTTTAGGAATAACTCACGGAAACCTGTCCGAACAAGAGTCTAGTAAACATCCCGGGTATGTTAAAATTTGAAACACGAAATCATAAATTATAATTTAATAAATAATCATAAAAAATAATAATATAATAAATTTACTTCAATAATATAATTAAACCAAAAACACTGAAATTTGAAATATAGCGCCAAGTTCGCACATCACTGAGCAAAGTCGCAAAATCATTTTCAGTGTCTGATGACGAATTTCCCCACGAATCATTATCACTCAATTCTGCAAGTGGTTCTGATTTACTATCGCTGTTCTCTAGCTGGTCTAAAACCACTTTTGACCTAAAGGGACGCTTTTTGGACGCCATGGACATTTCTCAGTTTCAAGGCAGAAAGAACAGTAAAAATGCAGGCAGGGCACAGGACAAAGCACTCGGGACAAAATGTATGTGAAATGGTTTGATACAGTAATGTTTTACTATGTAATTTTAGTGTATTTAGTGAATGACACTTTTTGAAATTTTTAAATTTCCCGCCAGTTTTGTCCCCCCGTTGCAGGGAACAGAAACCCAGAAGACAGATGCCGGCATCGGCCAGAGGACATTGCCGGGGATGCTGCAGGGGGGACATCGCGGGAGCGAAGGACAAGGTAAGTGAAGAAGAGATCCCGGAGCAACGCTGCAAGGTAATCCTGAGTGTAGCTCGGGGTTAACGCTTGTGGTGCTGAAACTTCACCCCAAGCTACACTCGGGAATAAAGGTATTTATTATCATGAAAAAAAAATGGTAAATAGGGATGCTAATCACCTTTCCACATCTAAAGGCTTTTGGAAATCTGTATATGAAAATACAGTAATCAAAATAAAGAGCAGTGAAGCAAGTAACATCATGTAAAAAAAAACAAAAAAACAGTTAATTCATTAAAAGAAAAATTTAAAGATTTCCCATCAGCTGCAATTACTAACTGCTGACAGCTAAGGCAGACCATAGATGATGTATTTTCTTTCCTGCAAGCTCAGGTGGTAGGAAAGAAAATAATTTGATTCCCCAATCAACAGTCAGTGTTGATGGGGGAATCCCTCCTACAGAGCTGTTGTGTTTTCTCTGTGTGGGAAGCCTCCCTTGCCGGGAAAACACAGTGATTATTGCTAGCAGCTATAGATATTGGCAATAATTGCATGTAAAAATTTGATAGGCAGGTTGTGCCCAAATCGATTGATGGATTAACTTGGGTAAAATCTGCCTGCCCATAAATGGTTCGAATCTCTGCCGGTCACTGCTGAACCAGCTGAGATTTGAACCATCTATGACCGGCTTAAGATGTCTCATGAATCTTGCTATTTTGTAGTTGACTACTCTCAGCTGCCTTTCAGAGGCAGAAGGTTCCTGAAGCAGTGCAAATCCATCACAACTGTGGTGAATGGAGAAACTTTTGCCAAATAATGACCTAAACCTGTGGAGGTTATTTACTAAAGCTGGAGAGAGCAAAATCTGGTGAAACTGCTTAGAAACCAATCAGCTTCCAGCTTCTATTGCTAATCCTTAATTGAATAAGCTCAAGTTAGAAGCTGATTGGCTACCATGCAGAGCTGCACCAGATTCTGAGTGCACCCGTTTTAGCAAATCTACCCCAGTGTTCTGTTTTTTAACACACATTCAAGCTCAGCTTCAGACAAAACTGTTTTTTTATTCTTAACAGAACAGGAAAGGATAGCAGTCTTTTCACAAAGAGATAAAACATTGTTATAACCACAACTTCCCAACAATATTTCCTGAACACCCAAAAGGAAATTTGCTAAAACTGTGGATAGTTTTGAAATTCATTACTTTAATTAGTTCTTCAAAAAAGGTGTCTTACTCTCCCAATGGAGTGCAAGACACTTTTTCAAAATCAAGAAGTAATAAAGCAACTACTTTAGTTACTTTTGTTTTTAAAACTGAGAAATACAGTGATACTTTTCAAAAGTAGACTGAAGCCGCTTATGTGTAATTGCTGTTTTTCATCAGGAAGCTTCCTTACTGTCCATTCTGGTTGCACCATACAGGGTATTGCCACCAGGACAAGAAGCGAAAGCAAATCACCCCAATAGGGACAAAGACAGCAAAAATACCTGGACAGAAGCTCTTATGCCCCATACACACTATAAGAAAATTGGACGAACGTATTCACCTGACAAGCAATCGTGCAATTTTCTGACAGCGTGTACATCATTTTCGACAGCCGATTCTGATCTTACAAACGAAAATTAACGATAGTTCAAACATCAAAATTTTTGTCGTTTGGGAACAGAATGAACGATTTTCGTTTAATATGTACAGTTTATATACGAGAAGAATTCCATATGAAAGACCGGGCATAATCGGAAGCTGCTTATGACCCGGAAGAACCTGAAGAAAATAAACACCACGGAATATTCGTAGCATTACAGCCATTAATGTCATTAAACAGTTCGATACGGTATCCATGACTATTCCGAAAATTCGTCACGAAAGATCCGTCACTGACGGAAAACAAATATGGCAACAAAAGGCGTGGCTACAGGGTTACCCGTACATTACATCATTTACACAGCTATGCTACAACGTTCGTACGCAAATGCCTTTATATTGTAAAATATTCTCATGCATACAAGCATATCGCTTTCAACCAGCAGCCTACAATCGATGATAACCGGACGATCGTTCGTCTGATTTTCTTCTAGTGTGTACGGGGCATTACTCTTCTTCACTTAATTAACCGCCTCCCGACCACCCTATAGCAGATATACTGCTACAGGGCAACACAGGTGCGCAAAATCTCACACACACACACATATATATATATATATATATATATATATATATATATATATATATACACATGATTTTGCGAGTAGGGGGCACGCACCTGACCCGTGTCGCCATTCGCGGCCGCAGCTGTCAAGCAGCGGGTCCCGACCGGTGATTACTTGCCGGTGCCCGGTGACTGTCAAGGGTCTTCAATAGGGAGGAGAACTGCATGTAAACAATACAGTTCTCCTCCCTGTCAGCTCGTGCACACTGCTTTGGATGGCCATCCAAAGCAGTGTGATTACAGTAAAGCACATACACACAGCCCAAAGTAAAACAGCACACAGTTAACCTTTTGATCACCCCTCATGTTAACCCCTTCCTGCCCAGTGCCATTAGTGCAGTGTCAGTGCTTTTTTTCGCATTGATCTCTGTATTGGTGTCACTGGGGATGTCAGTGACACCAAGTCAGTTCCCCCCAGTGTCAGAATGCTCACCGCAGTTCTGCTATAAGTTGCTCATCGCTAATTTTTAATTTGTTTTAAAAAATTACAAAAATATAATTATCTATGCCGCCATTTGTAAATGCTAAAACTTTCACGAAAACCATTTAACTTACACGTATTGGGATTTATTTTTAGCAAAGACATGTAGAATACATTTTGGCCTAAATTTATGACAAAATTTTATTTTTTTACTGGACATGCTTAATAGCAAAAAGTCAAAAATATTGTTTTTTTTTTTCTCAAAAACTATTGGTCTTTTTTTTTTTTATAGTGCAAAAAATAAAGACCGCCCAGGCGGCCGCTCAATTGTCAGTTACAGTAACACAATGCCGTAATGCAAAAAATGGCCTGGTCAGGAAGGGGGGTAAATACTCAGGAGGGCAAGTGGTTAAAAAAAAAGATATTTTTAAAAAAAAAGGAAAAAAATAGAAAATTTGTTTGGATCTCTCACTGGAGAGACTGCCCCGCATTTTACATCCCACTGATAGGGTTACAAGAAGTGAAGTAACAATCTCTCCAAGTGGGGACACAGACGTTAATAAAAAAGAGCAGACACTGAAGAAAGATATTGGCGGATGTATGGCTTTAACAGAACAACATTTACTCTGCATGAAACTGAAGAGGGAACATACAGCAGATTGCTTTGCTCTTCTTTGTCCCTGTATATTGCATGCTGGAACTGGCTCATCTGCTCAGTAGTTGTGACGTCTTGAGCTTTTAGTTCCTTCACATTATGTTTCAGCAGTTCTATTTGTCTCAGTCTCTCCATCTTTTCTTCTTCTGAAGTATTATCAGCACTACAAAAACAAAATAAACTAATTGGAAAGCCATTATCGTTATAATAGACACATATCAGCGGCCACAAAAAAGTTAAAACATAACTAAACAAATTTATTTCAACGTTTCCCAAAAGTTATATTCAAGGCAGGCAGTTGCTTGATCTCTCAACCAAACTATCAAGCCATCAAATGGCTGGTGTCATAACTGTTCACATGTGCAGAACCATGGCAACTGCAGATCAAAGAGAGGCTAAGATGCCATCTTACTTGACTGTAAAGGATAGAATGGTTTAATTCTGCTTTAAAATACAACTGTAAGCAGAACTGTTACTGCTGCTACTGTTTAATTCAATTACCACGTTTATATGTACAGATACATTTAAAGATCAGACTTGTGTGGGCCTGGACTGGACTGTACAACATAAAAGTTTTCTAAGGCCCCTATCACACAGGGCGGAATCCGCCTTGCTCAGCGGGGGATCTGTCCACTGGTCCCCTGCTGAGAAGAGAAGAAAAGGTGGACAGGTCTGCTCTATTTATGCAGAGCACACATGGACACAGACTGCTCTGCTGTTCGGTCGGTCGGATGTAAAAGGACCGGCTGTCCATGCACACCCCGAAGGAAGGGCAAAAAATCCCTGTTTCTTTTTAGCGGATCAGATTTGAAGTAGGCAGGCGTAAACGGACATAAGTCTGTTTACACCTGCCGGTTCACAGAGAAACATGGACCATCTGATCAGGTCCACCTGAAAGAACTGACAGGCAGACCTGATTAGATTGCCCGTGCGAAAAGTGCCTATAGGAAAGGAATATGGGGCAGCCATTGTTGACAACCTTTCTTTTATAAATGCCAGATATGTGACTGTTATGCTAATCCTTTGGATACAACACATTCCGAAAAAGTGGCCCAGAAAAGGCTTACACAACAGGAAAATTCAGAATGAAACCAAACATTAGCTGCCAACGTATCCTTGTTTTGAAGTATCAGCAATGGCAGCCTCCATGCTTCCATCAGGAAAGTCTTCATTGAGGCCCCATGTACACTAGGAGCTGAATAAAACGCTGTATAAAAAAAACTCTCAATATGAGCAATTTTTCCAGCAGTTTTCTCTTTTGTGTGCCAGCATTTAGAAGTTTAGATGTTTTTTTAAGGAGTGGTCCAGCAAGCTGGCTGTCTGTTATGGATTTTAAAAAGGAACCCATGGCAACATTTTTTTTTTTTTTTTTTAAACAGCGCGGGGTACCCCCAAATCCATACTAGACCCATAAATCTGGTATGGATTTTGAGGGGAACCTCACACCAAAATTAAAAAAAATAATTGCCTGGCCCCCCCCCCCCCCAAATCCATATCCCGCTCATTCACCAAAAGTGTTAAAAGTGAGTAAAAACATTGAGCTTGTTTTTGACAAGTTCTTTATTCAAAAGCCAAACCAGACACTGGCTCCCGCCATCTGACAGCTCTGCTGCCTCCCTCGCCACTAAATTAAGCTAAGGGTTGGAGCTACCCGGTCACCCTCATGCCCCTTGTGAAGTCACTGCCCACACACTGATGGAACAACACACAATGCAGGCTGTAAGCATCTTTCATTTATACTTTAGTGCACCTGGGAACCCCATAATACCAATGGAAGTGGCCAGTGAGGAGAGTCTGAGCATGACATAAAATATGGAGGGGGCAGGACCGGTTTCAGTTAAATCATAAAATGCATATATGAAAGCTGTGTAAGGATTTGGATTTCTGTCCATCTAGCCTTGAGATTTATACAGCTTGTCATACAAGCACAGCCTGGTCTGGCAAGACACAGGACCTGATTTTTCTCTGCTACAGTCAAGCAAATCATAGGGGTTGCTGACAAAGTGCAGTGACCTGCACTGAACGAAAGCAGGTTTTCTATGTACCCCGTCCACACTACAACACAACGGAAAGAAAAAAACCGTGCGCTTGGACTAAGATGCACCTCACACCACCCCCCTCTCTGCAAGTAAAAACTGGGAGCTGCCTGCACGCTAAAAGGGAGAATTTATGGTGCGGGCAGTGTGAACAGGCCTTTATATGGGTCCCTCCACCAGCCTGTGATTGGTGAGTGAAATGCAGACTGATGAGCTAATCTCTCACTCTGCTCTAACCTCACAATCAGTATGGTCTTTTGTTAGGACATGGGCAAAACTGACTGTATAGTCTGCTGTAGAGCTAATCTCAGGTCAAATTCGGGTGTTTACACGGTTTGCCTTTAAGAAGGTCCAAGTCTCAAAAAAACCCCAAAACATACACATACCTGTTCTGCAACTCTTCAATGCGCATCTGCAGCTGCTGTGCATCCCTTTCCAGTCGTCTGAATTCCAGTTTGTACCGATTAAAAGTGACCTAAAAAGAAAGTCTTCTGAGTTTAAAGCCGAACTACAGGCAGACAGATAAAAACACAGATGAAACACATGCTAAAGGATTTGAATTTCTAATCATCCATTCCTGAGATTTACACAGCACTGCCAGTTAGCACAGCCTTGTGCGTCATTGGCAGGAAACCAGATTTCTTCTGCTGAATATCAGTAACATTTACAGGTCTTCTCCCTCCCGGAGCCTGGGGCTAGACAGTAAAAGGAGAAGAAACCCACTAATGAGCTTGGTCAATCTGCTCTATCAGCACGTACCTTGTTACCACATGACCACTGCAGTACAAATGATTGCCTTCTAATTCTGCTCCTTCCTCTACCAAACACCTGTCCCTGTACAGGGACTGCAAAAAACGGATACCTGCTGAAATTGACATACTTACACTAGCTGCATTAAAAAAAAAACACTTGCTGATGTATTGTTAAAATCACTGTCTGTGTCTTTTATATCTGTTATCTGCATGGAATTCATTTTTAACAACATGGTACAGAGTCTAGCTTTAGGGCTCGTTCACACTAGGCTGTTTTGCCAACGCTTGCCAAACGCCCCTATAGCGTTTGGCAAGCGTTGGTCCGGTGTTTGCGGAGCGTTTTTAACGCTCGGCAATCGCTCCGCAAACGCCGCATGCGCGGTTTAGCGGCAGTTGCCGAGCGTTAATAACGCCCCACAAACGCCTATAATGCATTTGAGTGGTGTTACCGCTCCGCAAACACCCCGCAACCGCGTCGCAACTGCACCGCAAACGCCGGCCGGGCGTTTGCGGAGCGGCACCATAGACGAGAATAGGAGGCTTCAAAGCCTCCTGACTCGACCAGAGGCGTCCGTTTTGCCGCGACGCGACGCAAACGCTCCTGTTAGAACAGCACCATGTGCTGTAATGTGCAGAATTGGCAGAGGCGTTTGGGAAGCGGTAAAAACGCTTCCCAAACGCCTCTCTGCCGCCTGCACACAAGGCTAGTGTGAACGTAGCCTTATTCAGAGAAACAAACTATCTATTCAGGAAATAATAACTGCAATGCAACACCCAAGTAGCAAGTTGGCACCTGACCCAGTCTTCCTTCACACCTTAACTGTTGGCCTATCAATATGACAGGCAGCCAGCCTCACTGATCAATTATCAGGTGTGGGGGGCAGGTCAGGTGAGAGATCCTATTAAGGTATTTAAAACCCTTGGAATAGTCCAGAGGATAACTGGCGGTCTACTATTACAGTCCTGTCCCTTAAACATTCTTACTTGAGCAAACACCAAGACCTCTACAAGAATAACAAACAAAAGGATTAAAGTGGAGTTTCACCCAAAAGGGGAAGTTCCACTGTAAGGCTTTGCCCCCCCACTCCCTGTTAAGGAATGGCACCTTTGGGGAGCATGCATGGCATTTCACAGGGACAACTTCCTGATGGTGACAACAGAGGATCATGCTTGCATTACGCATGCTTAACCCCTTAGTGACTGAGGATAAAACAAATCAAAATGACTAAACACAATTTTGCTACTTTGACATGTGTTAGTAAAGTCATACATATCATCACAACTACTTTGTGTATCCAGTTGGATTACACCTTATTTTTTTCAGGACAAATTGGGCTATCTTTTGGTGGTAAATTAATTTAGCTAACTTAGTTGTATGTTTCTTGTTCTACCATAACCCCAAATAATAACAACCCAAAATAAATTCTCCTGTTGCTGATTGCAGTGATACCATATACAGGTGAAACTCGAAAAATTAGAATATCGTGCAAAAGTTCATTTATTTCAGTAATGCGACTTAAAAGGTGAAACTAATATATGAGATAGACTCATTACATGCAAAGCAAGATAGTTCAAGCCGTGATTTGTCATAATTGTGATGATTATGGCTTACAGCTCATGAAAACCCCAAATCCACAATCTCAGAAAATTAGAATATTACATGCATTCAATAAAACAAGGATTGTACATAGAACAATATCGGACCTCTGAAAAGCATAAGCATGCATATGTACTCAGTACTTGGTTTGGGCCCCTTTTGCAGCAATTACTGCCTCAATGCGGCGTGGCATGGAAGCTATCAGCCTGTGGCACTGCTGAGGTGTTATGGAAGACCAGGATGCTTCAATAGTGGCTTTCAGCTCTTCTGCATTGTTCGGTCTCATGTCTCTCATCTCTCTCTTGGCAGTACCCCATAGATTCTGTATGGGGTTCAGGTCAGGCGAGTTTGCTGGCCAATCAAGCACAGTAATCCCACGGTCATTGAACCAGGTTTTGGTGCTTTTGGCAGTGTGGGCAGGTGCCAAGTCCTGCTGGTAAATGAAGTCAGCATCCCCATAAAGCCTGTCTGTGGAAAGAAGCATGAAGTGCTCCAAAATCTCCTGGTAGACGATTGCGTTGACCCTGGACTTAATGAAGCACAGTGGACCAACACCAGCAGATGACATGGCTCCCCAAATCAACACAGACTGTGGAAACTTCACACTGGACTTCAAGCATCTTGCAGTGTGTGCCTCTCCATTCTTCCTCCATACTCTGGGTCCTTGGTTTCCAAATGAGATGCAAAAGTTGCTCTCATCAGAAAAGAGGACTTTGGACCACTGAGCAACAGACTAGGTCTGTTTTTCTTTAGCCCAGGTAAGACGCTTGACTTTGTTTGACAAGAGGAATAAGACATTTGAAGCCCATGTCCAGGATCCGTCTGTGTGTGGTGGCTCTTGATGCACTAACTCCAGCCTCAGTACACTCCTTGTGAAAGTCCCCAACACTTTTGAATGGCCTTTTCCTGACAATCCTCTCCAGGCTGCGGTCATCCCTGCTGCTTGTGCACCTTTTTCTTCCAGACTTTTCCCTTCCACATAACTTTCTATTAATGTGCTTTGATACAGCACTTTGGGAACATCCAACTTCTTTTGCAATTACCTTTTGAGGCTTTCCCTCCTTATGGAGGGTGTCAATGATGGTTTTCTGCACAACTGTCAGGTCAGCAGTCTTTCCCATGATTGTGATTCCTACTGAACCAGACTGAGAGACCATTTAAAGGCTCAGGAACCCTTTGCAGGTGTTATGGCTTAATTAGCTGATTAGAGTGGGACACTTTGAGCCGAGAATATTGCACCTTTTCACAATATTCTAATTTTCTGAGATTGTGAATTTGGGGTTTTCATGAGCTGTAAGTCATAATTATCACAATTATGACAAATCACAGCTTGAACTATCTTGCTTTGCATGTAATGAGTCCATCTCATATATTAGTTTCACCTTTTAAGTTGCATTACTGAAAAAAATGAACTTAATTTTTTGAGCTTCACCTGTATATGCGGCAGAAAAAAGGCCTAGTTCTGTAAGGCCGTATATATGCGTACTGTCCACGTCAATGGGTTAAACACTCACATGATGTCTACATCTGAGGCCTGAGTGCAATGACACCCTTTAACAGAAGTGCTTGAACAAGGACCATCAGAGCAGAACCATCAAATAATATTTAAGAATGCTTTATATTTACAGCTCTACAACACCAAGGGGCGGTCCGTCCAGACTGCAACTCTGCTGCTGCTGCTGGGTGTCCTGTTCCGAGCCTTCCGCCTGGCCACCAGTGTTGTCCTCACGGTGGGCGGGGCTGTGGATCAGAATAAGGGGGGGTCGGGGGAGAGGGGGTCCTGAGCTGGTGATTTCCTGGCTTGTTGGTGTGTGTGGGGACTTCTGTTTGAAGCAGCTCAAAGCGGGGGGCAGGAGTCTTTCATGTTTGCGGGCCAGGCGGTTGCCCACTTGTTGACATGGTGACATGGGTAGCTCCCGCCCCTCGGTCCCGATCTGCAGCTCCTCGCACCCCGCCCACTGTGGGTATGGTGTTTGTGGCAGGGTGGGGGGTCCGAGGGAGGTCACCCGGCGGTGGCGTGGCTGCAGTCCGGATGGGGACTGTCCCTCGGTCTGGTTCCGGACCGCAATCCGCATTTAGTGACCACTGTTCGAACATGACTACACACTAGTTCTGACCGCAACCTGATAGAACAGGAAGGGGCCATCCCCAAACGTTTCCACAAAGTTGGGAGCATGAAATTGTCCAAAATGTCTTGGTATGCAGACACCTTAAGAGTTCCCTTCATTAAAACGAAGGGGCCAAGCCCAACCCTTGAAAAACAACCCCACACCATAATCCCCCCTCAACCAAACTTTACACTTGGTACAATACAGTCAGGCAAGTACCGTTCTCCTGGCAACTGCCAAACCCAGACACGTCCATGGGATTGCCAGACAGAGAAGCATAATTCGTCATTCCAGAGAACACATCTCCAGCGCTCTAGAGTCCAGTGGTGGCATGTCTTACACCACTGCATCCAACACTTTGAATTGCACTTGCACTTTGTGGTGTAAGGCTTGGATGCAGCTGCTTGGCCACGGAAACCAATTCCATGAAGCTCTCTATGCTCTGTTGTGCTAATCTGAAGGTCACACGAAGTTTAGAGGTCTTTAGCTATTGACAGTTGACGACTTCTGCGCACTGCACGCTTCAGCATGCGCTGACCCCGCTCTGTCATTTTATGTAGTGAGTTGCTGTTGTTCCCAGTTACTAATACTTTCCACATTCATATCAGTCCCTACTCCTTAAGGAGCATACATTCTAAGGACCCAAACTCAAATTCATACATTTACATACTAGGGACAATTTAGATAGCAGTCAATTAACCTACCAGCATGTCTTTGGAGTGTGGAAGGAAACCAGAGTACCCGGAGGAAACCCACGCAGCCACAGGAAGAACATGCAAACTCCAGGAAGGTAGTACAGTGGTTGGGATTCCAACCAACGACCCTAGTACTGCCAGGCGGAAGTGCTAACCATTTAGCCACTGTGCTCATAGTAAACAAAAAACGTCCTTTATTTGTGTCGCACATGCTCCCCCTCCCAGACACTGCAGCTCAAAGTGGGAGGGCTTCAGCAACAAGCAATGCTGCCAATCCAGACAGCAATGGGCAGAACTAGCTGTGTCTTGGTGTAGTGAAAAGCTGCAGGCTTGTGAATCAGCAGTGATGATGCCAATAGCCTCACCACCAGCAACATTCACTTATTCATTAAAGCAGAACTCCACCCAAAAGCGCAAGTTCCATTTTAAGTCCTCCTCCCCTGCCACATTTGGCACGTTGAGAGGGAAGTGGGTACCTAGTTTTAACAGGTACCTGCATTCCTCTTCCCCTCCCTCCCCGCACTTTTCTGGGACACGTCACAGGTCCAAAAAGACTGTGGGGCTATTCACAAAATGTAGTGCGGCTCATGGATGTAAAGTGAGCAGCAGGCTGTGAAGCCAAAAGCAGCATAGTCGGCTGGCCAGAAACCCCAAGGCTAGTAAGGAACTAGCCCGGGTAAGGACAGCGCTGGATCCCTGGACAGGTAGGTGTAATTTTATTAAAAGTCAGCAGCTACAGGATTTGATTTTTTTTTTTTTCCCCAGAGTGAACCTCCTCTTTAAAAACCTTTTGCCTTTAGAACCACTTTAAGTTTTTATATATATTAATGTGCATTTTCATTGTTGAACTAAACGGTTTAGAATCTAGGATGGTGAGAGAAGAGCCTGCCATTTTTCAAATTTAACTCAGCCAAGAACACATGGGTTGCTGCTAGAGGTAGGTCCCTGATACCATGTGTTTGCAGTGCATGAAAATGCATGGTCAAGCACTCCCATCAACCCCTATGGTCCACTTGTGGCACATCAATGGTTGCAAAACATACTGGAACTATTTTTCATGAGCTACCAAATCTCATATGTGTAAAATAGAGAAAACAACTGAATGCCAAGGAACATACATTTTGATGCTTCATGATGCATAGGTGTGAAAAGGGCCCAAAATCAGATTATGTCAGGTGACTAAATTCAGATTAGTTGCACAGGCTGATTTTCACAAGTCTGCAACTGTTAAAAATGTCAACTCAATGAAAATTCCTTGAGCATTAGACATGCACTTTGTGTAGTAATTTCAAATTGAAAAAGAGAAGTTCACAATGTGAAAATGTATACAAGACCATAAAGTGATAATAAACCCTCAGTGTTTTAAGCACTTCAGCAGCAGATTTAATCACTTACTGAGTATGCAGCTTCTTTATCTTTTAATCATTGCCTAAGTTCCAGCTGGTGTCATGACCGCTGCCCTGTTTCCTGTTGCAAGGTGGTTCCTTTCTTTTGCTGCATCCTATGGAGTGCAACCAGGGACTAGATTTGCATCTCCCCACACTGTGCACATCAAGAGAAACACACAACCCTGTAGCTAACCATTCCCTCTGCCCCTCCGACCCTCCATTCTCAAAGATAAAAAAAAAAAAACAACTGACTGGAGACTGGACTGCACTGTCCATTGTTAAAGTATAACTAAAGACAACACTTTCTATTTTTTTAATTTTGGATAAGAGTAGAGATGGATTAGAACACCTAGGTTTTGTTCTACTGTGTGTCCCCATTAGGGAGATTCACCCTCTCTATTTGTCCTGTATACCATTATCACTTAAATTGAAAGTAAAGAAAATCCCAAATTTTGGGTTGTCCCCCGAAAAGTAAGAGGGGAAATCTTCCAATGAGGATACTAGTTCTGGTGATCTGGGGGAGCCCCAAGGAATTCCCTTAAATTGTAAAGAATTCCTCTCACTTCCTGTTTGGCAATGGGACAAGGAAGTGAAGGAAAACCTCCTCAATGGGACACAGATAGAAAAAAAAAATATCTGACGGGTTATTACCCTCCCTTACTCTATCCAAAATGAAAGTTAAAAAAAAAAAAAAGTTTTCTCTATAGTTCTTTAACTAATTCCAGTGAGTAAAAGGAAGTTCAGGAATAAGCATTTAGAGAGCAGCATTGAAAGTTGCAAGACTACACGCAATGGGAATAAAATTACCAAATAGTTTACTGGGAAATGTTTATTTTATTATGCTCAATGTGTTAAGCTAAAAAAACAGCGTGTTTAACAGTACATATATATGAGAATACAAGAAACAGCACAGCCCCATGAACAAAAAAAGCTGCAGGCAGTGCCCACAGGCTACATGTACTTACTGTAACTGCTTCTGAACAAAATGACGAAGTGAGTGGAAAAATATTCAATCATTACACCGTGTTCAAAATTATTATGCAAATTCTATTTAAGTGTCACAAAGATTAAATATTTTGTTTTTCAGTTTAACTCATGGATGGCATTGTGTGTCAGGGTTCTTTTGATCACTGAAAACAATCTCGGACACCTGTGATAATTAAGATTGGCCGGTGAGCCCAATTTAAGGAAAAACTACTAAAAAGAGGGTGTTCCACATTATTAAGCAGAGCGCCATTTTCAAGCAATATGGGGAAGAAAAAGGATCTCTCTGCTGCCGAAAAGAGTGAAATAGTTCAATGCCTTGGACGAGGTATGAAAACATTAGATATTTCACGAAAACTTAAGCGTGATCATCGCACTATTAAGAGATTTGTGGCTGATTCAGAGCACAGACGGGTTCGTGCAGATATAGGCACATTGAGGAAGATTTCTGCCAGATCCATGCATCGGATCAAGAGAGCAGCTACTAAAATACCATTACATGGCAGCAAACAGATATTTGAAGCTGCTGGTGCCTCTGGAGTCCCACGGACATCAAGGTGTAGAGTCCTCCAGAGTCTTGCAACTGTGCATAAACCTTCTATCCGGCCACCACTAACCAATGCTCACAAGCAGAAACGGCTGCATTGGGCAGAAAAATACATGAAGACTAATTTTCAAACAGTCCTGTTCACTAATGAGTGCCATGCAACCCTGGATGGTCAAGATGGATAGAGTAGTGGATGGTTGGTGGACGGCCACCCTGTTCCAACAAGGCTGCAACGTCAGCAAGGCGGTGGTGGAGTCATGTTTTAGGCCGGAATCATGGGAACAGAGCTGGTTGGCCCCTTTAGGGTCCCCGAAGGTGTAAAGATGACCTCTGCAAAGTATGTGGAGTTTATGACTGACCACTTTCTTCCCTAGTACAGAAGGAAGAACTATGCTTTCCATAATAAAATCATCTTCATGCATGAGAATGCACCATCTCATGCTGCAAAGAATACCTCTGCATCAATGGCTGTTATGGGGATAAAAGGAGAGAAAGTCATGGTGTGGCCTCCATCCTCCCCTGACCTCAATCCTTTTGAGAACCTTTGGAGTATCCTCAAGCAAAAGATCTATGAGGGTGGGAGGCAGTTTACATCCAAATAGCGGCTCTAGGAGGCTATTCTGACATCTTGCAAACAAATTCAAGCAGAAACTGTCCAAAAACTCCGAAGTTCAATGGATGCAAGACTTGTGAAGCTGCTATTAAATAAGGGGTCCTATGTTAAAATGTAACGTGACCTGTTAAAATGTTTAAAAAGTTAAAATGTTGTTAAAAGTTTGATTGCAGCATATTGACTGAAATCAAAAGCTATTTCAAACACAACAAATGACAATTTTCAGTTCTTTACAACCTATAAAGTGTTTTGAAACTTACTGTGCGTAATAATTTGAAACAGTGCATTGGAAGTTTTTTATGTTTAACAAAAATACTGTTATCATTAGGAGGTTTGTTCAATAAAATGTGAATTGTACTCTTAATAGTTGATAACATGAGAATTATGCTGACTGTTATTTACATCAATTATTTAGTAAATGAGAAAAATCTCATTTGCATAATAATTTGGAACACGGTGTATACAGCAACACCTGTGTACACAGCAGTCCATGGACCCTACATAAAAAGATCCACCTGAAAAATGTGTAATTTTGACAATGGATGCCTGTTTACACCATCACCTCTTTAATGCCTGCCTTCCCACTAATGTAGTGTGTGAAGGCACGCACATTCATGAGATTTTGCGCACATTCACAAATTCATTATTAAAGTGGAATTAAACCCATTGATTTAAAAGTTTCCCAAAACGGTTACATTCAAGGCTTGCCATGAATAATAACTGTCACATTTGCTCGTTCTCCCAACTGAACGGTCATCAAATGGTTGGTGTCATAACTGATTATATGTGAAGCACCATGGCAACTGCAGACCAAACCAAGGCTGCTTCCTTGGCTGTTAACAATAGGTTTAGTTCTGCTTTATTGGTACACAAGAACACGGTGTCAAAAAAATGTGCAAAGCTTCAAAAAGTACATGAGCTTCTTTTCTACATGTAGGGCATCCCACTAAAATGAACTGGCTTGCCTAATGGTGAAAAATGTGCATATAGACAACACTTGACGTCACGCTGCGGTACTGTAAATGGGGGCTTACAGCTGGAATACAAATACCACAAACGGAAAAAAGATCTATTTGAGGGAACTTACCTCAGATTCATTGTAGGACTTCTTCCTTTGCTGCACATCATCTTTTAACGACAAGCACTGTGGTTTCAATGCCTGAGCCTCCTGGCTGATCATTTCCAGCTTCTCCTGTATAGCTCGGAAATTCCCATTACAACTGTTCACTTTTTGCTCAAAAAAAGAAAGAAATGCCTTTAACTCTACTACTCAGCATCAGCTATCGCTCTAACAACATAGGGCTAAATTTTCAACTGTAACTACATTTCAGGATCACCATTATTCAAAATCACACAGAATAAAAGATTTGTTAAAACCATCAGATATTTCACATTAAAAACTAACCACACTTTTCACCTCAGACCTCAAACAATGGAGCCCAAGCAGTACACATAAACGTAAACCAATACAGCACGGTAATGAGACAACCTCCATCCAACAAACATGCCACTCTCCCTCAACAACCTGCATTCTCTATGGTGTATAAAGGCAAGAAAGCAAATGTCATAATGTGGTTAAGCTTCAATACCAATGGATTAAAATTTGAAAACTATATCACATCAAATAAACAAAATAAGGTAAAACCAATATGGCGTCCAACTGGAAGTGCGTCACCGGCACGCAACTTCCAGTGATGCACTTCCGGTTGGACGCCATATTGGTACATCGTGCAGTACACCCATAACATGAGGTGTAAAAGTGTTTTATGAAGGAGATAAATGTGAGTGGGCTAATATTCATCTTATCTTGTTATATTGGCAAATTAAACGTTATTGCACTATGGAGAATGTTTCTGCTTGTGTCTTAATAACATGGTCCTGATGGGAATGTGACCTGAGAGTGGTATTGAGGAAAGCAGCTTATGCGGCATCTCCACCTGGATGAGATTATTCTTGTAAGGCTCGTGGTGTGATCCTAAAAAGGCAAGTTGGTCCTTGTGGTTAAGGTTTGGAGGTGAGGGGGTATTTCTGTCATTTGGAGGATTTTGGAGTGAAGATCACCTGATCATGAGCATGTGTTTATATGTCTAAAAGACCACAGTCTTCATAATTGGACATTATTTGAGTTTTTTTGTTGATTCACATGTGTGTTTGTATGGTCATTTCACGGGTTTTGCTGAAATTTTGTTTAATTTATGTTAGTCAATTTCTATTGGCACTATACACGTATGTTTTTTTTCCCTTCAATATAGGGAACACATATTTTTCACTTATAGTCCCCTTTAGGGACAGGGGGAGTATTGTGTGTTTTTTAAAGGGATTCACTTCATTTTGAACAGGTCATCCTGTTTTTTTCACTTAAGTGCACCTGAGTGGATCCATTTGGATCAGTGCACTGTGTGTATATTAATAATTTCAGTATTATATTTTATATGTGTGTTATTATGACAATTGGTACACTTTAATATTATTAGTTGACACTTTGTACATATTAGGATTAGCGCTTCACTATTTAGTTATTTTATGTTCTTCCACCTATTAAGGCCAGGTCAGGTGATAGCAGCTCTTTATTTGTAGGTTACCCATATAAGCGCAGAAGGGTATATCCAGTATTATTTGAGTTACTGTTGTCTTTCTATCATCTCAAGCCAGTCTGCCCATTCTCCTCTGACATAAACAAGGCATTTTCGTCCACACAGTTGCCGATCACTGGATATTTTCTCTTTTTCAGACCATTCTCTGTAAACATTAGAGATGGTTGTGCGTGAAAATCCCAGTAGATCAGCAGTTTGTGAAACACTCAGACCAGCCTGTTTGGCACCAACAACCATGCCACATTCCCTCCCCTCCCCCCCAAAGCATCTTGCTGCCATGTTGATAGGGACAAGGGCCTCTAGCCCACAACCCTGGCTGGTGGTTGTGGGGGTCTGCGGAAACAAGGGGGCCCCAGATTCCCCCCCGTGTGAATGAGTATGGGGTACATGGGCCCAATACTCATTCACAGCAAACAAAACGTGTAGTGTGAAAAAAAGACAGAACGCGGTCTTTGACAAGTCTTTTACTAACCCCTTGGCGCCGGCGCCTCCCGGCTCTTTAAGGGCTTCAGAAGCTGGGAGGCAGGGCGGGGTTTTAGGGTCATGTGACTGCAGTGATTCGCTGTCATATTATCGAGAAAGGTCCCGATCACAAGAGGAGATCGGGACCTTTCCATGAGTATCAGACATGTGTGCTGGGAGCGCACAGGGCACGCGCTCTCGGCATGTTTTTTTTTTAATTTTTTAAATGTGCGGCTGTTCGGTGTCAAGGCCCAGACGCCAAGAGGCCATACATTTGCATGCGCTTGGCGTGATGAGGTCAAAAGAAAAAACTAAAAGAATGTCCCCCCGCAGTGGATCCAATGTCAATCACGATGTCCGCCGCCGACCCGAAAAAGAATTTTAAAAAAAAGGCTCTGCTTCCGACGATGGCTCCCGCCGTCTGCCGGTGGTTTGACAGTTCTTAAATATGTAAGGGGCAGGGCCACCCAGGGACATCACCCGAGTGACCCCACCCCACGTGACATCATTGCTGTCACATGGGGTGGGGTTACATGCCTGATGGGTTCGCATTCATTGAATTTTGGAAACCACCTCCATTTCGAAGATCCTGATGGCGGCATTTGAGACTTGTAGAAATGCAGACCATATATTTATTTATAATATACTTTCCAGGAATAAGCATACTTGGGAGCACTGGGATGCCCCTGTGTCACACTGTGTGCTCTGTTTGGATGAGCCCTATATTTATCAAAGTACACAAAATTGTTCAAAAAATCCCACTGCCAGGATCAGATCAACTTGGTTTTTAATGCTGTCGGTGCTCCTTTAATAAGATTCACTCTCTCTTTACTGTTATTGAGAGTAAAAGTGAAAGAAAATCCTACATTTTGGGATGTCACAACAGGGATAGGAGGGAAATCCTCCAATAAGACCTTAGCAAGAAATGGCTTGTGGACTGCTTGGCAAGTCTTTAATTATATACCCAATCACAATTAGAGAGTTTTCTATGCAGAAGAATAGGTCCTACCAGTCCAACAAGGCCACAGCAAAACTATTCATTAGCTGCATACTGTATATTTGGTTGCTTTGCAAGTGGGGTGAACATCATAAGCTGCATTTGGGCAAAACTGAATTCTGGCAGGAATATCTCATTAATGAAGTCATAGAGATCCAAGAAGGCATCTGATTCAACTTAAACAATGACCAGAAAAACCATAAATTGGACACACAGCAGGGAACGGTAATATGTATAGGAACAATTCAACAGTATCAGAAAGTCTACGACCATGGTTTTAACCCTGAAGTGGAATGGCCTGATTAAATGAGTGTTCTCTGTTTAGGCAATAGTAGCAAGATTTTTGCAGGCACTCTCAGTACCAGTCAACTTGTCTTATTTGCTCATTACAAATTCCACTTCTGGCTTTTTGGTGCTACACAACAGTGGTAGTCTACTAATCTGCTTCTGGCATCTGTCTTATTAGAAAAAAAAAAGAGACACTGACACAAAACACTCCAGGCAGTCAATGACCATTTGATCAATGCCTAGGCTCTATGTTGCATGAGGCAGAAATGAATAGCAGTAAAGTGATTCGGGCACAGATAACGTGTACTCCATCAAATAGTGTAAACGTTAAAAAGGAATTGGTTATTTCCTTACATCTACTTACATTTTGTATTACATGTATGCATAAGCAAAGCACAAGTTTACTTTAATTGAAAAAAGAGAAAAAAAATACACTTATTTTTCTGTCAGTTTCTGACTGAGTGAGCTTTCATGGATCAGAACAATTTGACACAGAATGTATGCAATACCTGCCATTCAATGATCTTCTGCTCAAACTTCACTGTGCGTCCCTCTTCTGCAGCTATTTGTTCTCTAACTGGGTTTAGCTGTTTCTCCATCTCGATCACCTAGAATATAAAATAGACAAAGTTTCTACACTAATCATAAAAAAGATAAATGTGGAATGAAAAAGAAATACATGGATGAATGTAATCCCATATCCTCCTTATCTTATCCTATAATGTCTTAAAGCAACAAGATTCAAAGCAGAGTTCTACTCAAAAGTGGAAGCTCCACTTATCTGCCTCCTCTCACCCTCCACTGTCACACTTGGCAACTTTTTTTTTTTGGGGGGGGGGGGGGGGGTGCAGATACCTGGTTTTGACAGATACCCTCTCCCACTTCCGGCTTAGTTCACCACGGCAAACTGTGCCAGAAGTTCTACTTGATGTCACACAATTTCAAAGTAGTATGTCATTGCGACTTCAGGTGTAACTTCGAAGACATCTGTGCAACTTCATGCACAGATGTCTATGCAAGTCGCACCTAAAAGTGCAGGAACTACTTTAAAAAATCAGTGCGACTCCGCTTGGAGTCGCACCAATTAGAACAGTTCCATTGCAGACAATAGGGTGCGACTTGTCATGTGATTTGAAACTGTCAAATCACATAAGTCGCACTGGTGTGAACCAGGGCTTAGACTCACTTCTCCAGTAACCCATGCCTCCTACATTCCAGCCTCATCAGATTTATCACTTCCAGGTGTGTTGGATGCCTGATCTGTAGTAACTAACTCTGATCCCTATGGCACAGAACAGACTGAGGCTGCACTGCTAGACAAAAGGTAGGGTAACAGATAGGGGCAACTGGAGACGTGAGGACAAGGGCTCTTCTTTTTTTGGAGGGCACTTTTCTTTTTCTTTTTTTTTTAGGTATGCATAATAAATGTATGACAACACCAGGGAAATACTTGTGGTGTATTTACCGATTCATAAAACTTCGCAGAATACCAGATTACAGGAATGTAACCTATTTTCATTTAACGTCCACAGCACTTGCTGATACCTTGAGATCCTAACTAAATCATAACCCTCCCCTCCAGGGGTGTAACCCTAATGCAATAATTATTGAACAGGCTCATTTTATTGTAGAGATCTGGGCTCCCACCAAAAAACTAAAAGTCAGTAGCTTCAAATACTATAGCTGTTGACTTTAAGATAAGGGCACTTACCTGTCCCAGGGGACCAGCCATGCCTTCACATGAGCCGATTTTTCAATTGGCTTCAGGTGCTGGCACCAGCATCTTTAGTAAGGGAAACCGGAAGTGAAGCCTTGTGGCTTCACAGCCGCTTTCCTACTGATCGTAGCATGGTGCACTTTGTGAATGAGCCATAGATGTCTGGGACC